TGACACTATTGTTTTGTTATTTCTCTATGCATTCATGTTTTTGTTTTTTTTAATAGCCTAAGACATGTAATAGACAGCGTGAGTTTGCCATGTTCGGTTTTTAATATTTTAAGTTAACAGATATTAATATAATTAAAAACCTTAACGTTTATGGGATAGTGTTTATACCGCGCTCATGATAGCTACCAGAGAGAATGCATAAAAGCGTGTTTAAATATAGTCATCCCTGTGTTTAAACACATCCGCTCCTTGTGTCTCTACACACTGCAGCCTGCGCATGTCTGGGTATTTCGTAATTTTACTACCGGGTACAGGCTACGGTTAAGGAAGTAATATTTTGTGATTGACAAGAGTAGTGGAGCGCACTTAAATCGATTTTCTAAACGTTACAAAATCATTTTAGTAAACTTGAGTCTATAAAACTTTCGTAGTGCTTACAAATACACAACTGATTCAGGGCATATATCCATAAAAGGTAGGAGGGAGATTTTACCATTATTAAAAAGAACCTAATATTAATATGTACCAATATATGATTTGTCTTTTCATTAGGCGAAACATGTGTTAATATGTGAAATGTATAACAGCTCTCTACCAAGAAACATAGAATTCTATTTTCCAAAAACTGTGGTGGAATTTGTAAATACTTGTACAATACTTCCAATGCAATTCTAGACTAGATGTAGCTGTTGAGACAAATAATTTAACATTTCCAACAATTTCTTCAAATCAACATGTATTCGATAATTACAGTGATCAGTGTTTCTTCCAGACTTTTTTCTCCGGGGGGGGGGGGGGGGGGGGCACTGGAAATTTTCGGAGGGGGGGGGGGGGCGATAGACTTTCTCCGGGGGGCTCCGCCCTCCCCGAAGAGATGCCTGGAAGAAACTCTGACAGTGATTAACTTATCATTACGTTAAATCACTATAGACTTACTTGTATGTTTGCTTACTTAGAGCTACGTATACATTCAACTATCATCGATTCCCGTTTGTGCCCAACACACAAGTGGCAGATGAAGTAGAGTTAATCTATTTTAATAACCTCGGCACACAAGGGGATAACGTGGCCAGCAATTTGCCTAGCCACCTTTGTCTAACTTGAGTCAGGTACCCATCCAAGCAGATTGAAACGTTCTTTTGATTTGAACCAGGATTTGATACCGAGACTTTCGATATAGCAGCCTAGTGCTCTATTTCTAGACCAAGCCTTCCATTTTGTCTTCAATATTATAGTTTTACTCCTTTTTTATCATTTAAAAACATTAAAAAAAATTATAGCCTGGTTTAGAAATAATTAAAGACCTTAGTCATTGACATTGCACTGATTCAAACGTTAAAACATGCGCTGCATGGTCAAACGATAGAGCAAGTGATAACTCGAGTCTCTCGAGTTCGGATCCCTTACACAAAATTACCAAATCAAAATTTTAGACACTGTTTACAGTTGAGCTGAAAGATTCGTGACTTTTTCTGCTTGACTAAACACACTCGAATCGTGTCAACACATTACCACAACACATCACCTGTTGCTACTTCCTTAAGTACACATTTGTCTGGCGGATCTAAAACACGGAACAGAAATGGGAAGTTAAATGTTAATTTCACGAAAACGTTATACGAAATTATAATTATACGAAATGTGTATACAACCTGGTTTAATAAAAAACTTTTTTTTTTCCTTACAAACGGAGCGTTAGGGTAGAAATTTTGTTTTTAAATATGAACATGCTGAAAAGTAACTTTCTACGAGTATGTAGTAGTTTGAAATTCTGGCATTCTAATTTTAGTTGCAGAAACTAAACGTATTTGAACAATCTACTGCCCTACTCATATCTCTTAAATATCAGGTAAAATCTGAAATGTTATATTTAAAGTAAATAAAAATCGTTGAATTTATGCATTTTCTTATATATATATATATATATATATATATATATATATATATATATATATATATATATATATATCCAAAAACATTTATATTTCAGTGTTTAAAGTCAAGACCCCCACTCGTCACTGAGGATAAGAAGATGTTTACGTTGAAATATTCTCAATACACCATACCATAATCTATGAAGGCCATATTGTTTTCAGCATCATTGAATTACAGTCATATTATTTAAAATGTGTTAGCATTGCCAGACTTGCACTGCACCATTTAGTTTGTATTAAACTGGTGGCTGTATGGTCAACGAGGCATCATTCAACTTGAACCAACGCAAACTTCACTTCACACTTAGACCTAAGTGTGTCATGACACGGTCCCTCCAATATGTCATCTATCAAACTGTTTAAAAACAAATTGTCAAACTCGACAAAAACCAGGTCGCTTTGCGATCACACAGACGCTCATCGGGATGAAAATCCTTACGATGATATAGACGAGAAGAAAAAACATTCGAAACTTCCAGACATTCCTAAAGATAGCCTAACTTCAACTAAACAAACTTCAACTAAACAAACTTCAACTAAACATAAAGGATTAAAAGAACCGGGTTCTAAAATTCAGGAAGTTTCGTCAAGTCTCGTAGAAAATCTCCAAGAAAACATCTACGACAAGATGGAGAATTCAGCTGAGGATGAACACATCTACGAGGATATTGATCAATCATCCAGCATTGCAAGCAGAATTTGGAGAAAAACTTCAAAGGGCAATAACAGGGAAGAGAAAAGTAGAAGTGTATGGTATGACGTCACGGACTAATTAATTAATACAACTAAGCACTAATGTAAAGCTCACAGTAGGTTAATTAATTTCTAAACGTCATTTAATATTTTGGATATCAAGAAATGTGCATTTTGTTAATTATTTCCATGGAAGTTCTTAATATGAAATGACATTTACAAATCATATTTCCATTATTTTTGCCACGTGTCTGATTTATTAAATGTTGATGCGATAAAGTGTTACGGCAAGAGGGGTTAGAACACTACTGCTATCACTAAAGTTTCCAGCTCAGATCATGAATCTACATCTATAGTACGGCTTGAGCCAAAAAAACCCGACGGGTAATTAACTTAAATTAGGAAGAGCTTAGTGATAAGGAATAGAATGTATATCCCCATACTTCAAGATCACATAAACATTAGCTTTACTTCATATACCTGTGTACCGTATATATAAGCTGTTGACTCTGATTTCAGCCTGCTTTACTTTTTGGATTTGCTTCCATAGCCTTTGTCCAACCAAAAACAAACTACAAGGCAGTAGTTTTTTTTTTTTTTGGAGTTGTCTCTCTTAGAAGGGATGCTGTCCCAGCAATCAAGCCTCATTTGCCGGTGGTTTCACACTGAACTGCATACCATTTAAATACATCCCCTAAACCATCCCTTTTGACCCCTTTATCGAATGCTGAGGTCACAGAGTCAGGTGAACTCTACTTCACATTTTAAACTCTTGTGGTTTATCAACTCCGTGCTATACCGACCCGACCACATGACCTTAAACAGCAAAACATTAACTTTTATCTACACATATTTCCTTAATTAATACGTAATGTACATCCATGTTCGTGATGAAATAACGTGTAATAGTCAACGAATTATAATGCATTATTGCATCATTTTCAGTGAGCTAGCTTTTCCCCCACACATTCTCACACACGTATTCAATCTAAAGTACCCTGGACGGTCAATACAATAACATATTTACAAGCCCTCACATTGAAAACCAGTTTCATAACTACACACATGCGTTCTTCCGAAACATGCACAAGCATCTGAAAAATTCACCCATATATTTTTAGTCACAATTGCACGAAATAAAAAAAAACAACTTGCAAACTCTGTAATGTTTCTCAGAAAATTGAACATGATAAGTGTGTGATTTAGTTTTCGCCTTATTGATATGATGCACTTAATTTGATTGACTTCACATGTGGGTGAGCTGATTGCAGGAAGCCTAAAGGTCTACACTTTAACTTACAATAACAAACGCTACATGTCAAAATGGTCAGCACTTTAACCCACAAACACATACGCAACACGTCAAAAGATCAACACGTGAACTCACAATAGTAGTAGGTTCACAAATTCTGATTCAAATCTTCACTGGACTCTTGTGATCAGAATATTTCATTCAACGAATGAAGAAGTCTTCATATTTTCAAGACCTCATTTTTTTCCATTTAAACAATATAATTTCGCTAGGGTTTTTATTATTACCAGTTAATCTTTTTCCGTGTATGATTATTGATGTTATTACAGAAACTTCAACAATGCTAATTAATTGTTTATTGTGTTTAGTATTGCTTTGTTAAAGAAATGTTAAATGTATATATGTTTCTGCATATTAAAAAGCAGTTATTTTTATCTAAAAGCTAATAAAGAAACATATTTTTAAAATAAAAAAGAACAGCTTTTTAACATTATTTAAATTTAAAATAAAATGTACAAAGCCACACAATTATAATCATACACGCCAAATCTAAGGTAAATTTTAATAATAAAAAAATAATTTGTCGAATTAGCAAATAAAGGAGTTTGTAATCGGTTTTTGTTTCAATGAAACTGTTATACGGCATCTTTATTTCTGACACCGCGGTGAATGAGACAATTGATGTAGAGTTCACCTGTTTTAAACTGAAACAACTTTACTTCATTTACGCCATTAAGACACTTATCTGAACTAAATCGACTTCCTACTGACTCGAGCTATGGATCAAAACTTGAAACATTCAGGTGAGCTGTCGATTCTCTATAGACCAGCCACGTAAATCTTGTCCAACCGAAACATGGTAAGTGACATGAATTTAACAAGTTTTAGGAAAAAAATCAAAATATCAACCACTTCTTTTTTAAAAAGCAGTGCTTACAACTTACAAGGAAGTAAACAATTAAACTTCTAGAAAAATAAAAATGACTTTCATAAAAAATATAATTTAACAGAAGATTTTTATTTCCAAGAAAATATAAAAAACTCAAGACTTGATAATACATTTCACTAAACAATATTGATAACAAGAAAAAAAGCAACAAAATACTATAACAAGTTGCCTGCTAAGGTAGAAAGTCATAATAATCTGGAGAAGATATTTTATAATATAGCTATAAAGTTTTGAATGATTTTATTTAGTTACATATATAACATAAATGTTTTTTGTTTTTTGATCTTGCAGAGAAGTATATTTTAGGGTTGTTTAAATAGGTTGTGTTAGATAGACAATAGTAGATAGCCAACCTAAACAAATACAAATATTTGAAGACTTCAAAATTATATCAGTATCTGGGTATCAATAAGTATCACTGCAAAAACGTTGTATGTATTAGTTTTAAGAAAAAGTAATATTTTCTTCGAGATAAAAATGAATTGTGGTGCACCCCGTGTAAAGCTATTTACTAAAAACGCAATTTGTGGATATATTTCTTATAATGGTTGATGTGATTTTGAAATTCTCAAAACTAAACAAATTGTAAGAGTGTAAAAAAGATTCAACAACTTTGAATGCATTTTTGTGAAAAGTTTATCTGTAAAGGATCGTTACTTGTCTGCTTATTCATTAAGCATCATAAACACAAAACTTTTAAAAATATATTACACTTTTAAATAAAGTCAATATGCAAATATTGACGCTTTAGAAAATATATATTTAAAATATGAAAACCGATGGCATAAAAGAAATACAGAATCATTTTTCCTGACCCGAGGATTATCAAGTTTAGCTTTATTCCTTACTTGAAAACATTATTAGACATCAGTTACCATTTTAGTGCACTTCTCTAAAATGTTAACACAGTTGAAGTGCTGAAAGTTCTCCGCCAACAACAATGCATTAATACCATCACTGCAAATACTTGCATCAGCCCCGCCGTTCAGTAGTTCCTCAACACACAGAGTATGCCCAGCCATAGCCGCCCTCATTAAAGCCGTCAACCCTTCACTATCCTGTCTGTTGATGTCGTTGTCTTTCTTCATCAACACCTTCAGGCAATTCAAATTACCCATACTTGCTGCGTCAATTAAAGAAGTCACTCCATACACATCTTGGATATTAACATCAGCTCCATATTCTATCAACAACTCCACACACTCAACGTGTTGACTGATGTTTGCCACGAACAAAGCTGTTTGACCGTCTTTGTTCCTGTAGTTAACCTTCGCACCTCTCTTTAACAACATCTCCAAGCATCTAGTCGACCCAGATGATGCAGCGTACATCAATGCAGTTTCCCCATCTTCGTTACAGAGGTCAACATCACATGCAGATTTTAAACATTCTCTTAACGCCTTGTCATCCCCAGCCTTTGCATGAGAAATCAACATCGAATTTGTTGCAGCAGCTACTTTAGTTGTGTCAGTAGTTATTTTAAGAAGATCTATACAAGCCTTTTTATCATAAGCTGTTGCATACATAAGAGCAGTTTCTGAATAATGATTTCTTACAGACTTCGAAGCCCCAGCTTTAAGCAGGGTCTCTATAGTTTTATTATGTCCATTCATAGCCGCCGCCATTAAAGCAGTAACGCCGTCATTGTCCTGTTGGTCAAGCTTAGCCCCGGCCTTGATTAAAATCTTCAAACACGCCAGATGTCCTTTACCAGCGGTCACTATCAAACTCGTGACGCCACTCCCATCAGCGGCGCCCACGTCAGCCTTATGGCCAATCAAACACTGCAGACAATCTGCATGGTTGAAACTCGCTGTCAGCATCGCTGCCGTCATGCCCTGATTGTTCCTGGCATCAACCTCAGAGCGAGGTGCTAGTATCTCCACACACGGACTACAGCCGTACACGGCAGCCTCCATTAAAGCAGTGTGGCCAAACACATCACGGACATTAACATCAGCCCTTGCTTCAACTAAAGCCTTGACAATTTTAAAGTCATTACTAGCGGCAGCCTCAATTAAAAGAGTTGTACCATTTTTATCTGGCAAGTTTACATCGGCTCCAGATTTTATAAGACTGAGAGCACAATCGACATTATGGTGACGTATGGCCAGCATCAAAGCTGTCTCGTTTAAATCATTTGTCCCATCTTTATCAGCCTTAGATTGTATAAGGCTGTTTAAACACTCCAATTTACCATACATTGCGGTATACATCAGAGATGTGTGGTTTGAGGTGTCACAGGCATTGATATCACAGCCATTGTTGACAAGTACCTCAACACATCGTGCATGACCCTGTTTGGCTGCTATAATTAAAGCAGTAGCGCCGTCTTCATCCCTTGCATCCAAGTCAACTTTCTGCTTAACAAACTCAATCACAACGTCCACATGTCCTCCATACACAGCAAACATCAGGGCTGTCGTTTTGTGTCTGTCAGTTACATCTAGTGAAGCTCCAGCTTTTAGAAGCTGCTGTACACACACCAAACTACCGGCTTTTGACGCGTACATTAAACTAGTTCTCTTATCTTTATCCACTAATTTTACTTTAGCGGCGCCTTCTGTAAGTAGCAACCACGACATTTTTTCTAGCCCTTTCTCAGAAGCAACCATAAGTGGGGTAATCCCATTCTTGCAGCTCATGTTAACGTCTGCACCATTGTTGATCAGAGCTTGTGCGGCTTGCAGATTGTTCTTCACCACAGCAAGCATCACACACGTAGTCCCATCGCTCCGTGTAAAATTGACATCAGATTCAGCCTTTAGCAATGTGTGTATGCACCTAATCTCCCCGACCCATGTAGCTATCATTAGAGCATTCGACCCGTCACTACACACCTGGTTCATGCTACTGCCGTGTTTGATTAAAATATCCAGACATTCCTTGTGTGAGTAGAACGCCGCAAACATCAGAGCTGTTGCTCGTTTTTTGTTTGTCAGTCGAACATTGGCTCCCTTGTCTAGCAACATTTTTAAAATTTTGGTGTTACCCTGACTAGCGGCCCACATTAACGGCGTGTTGCCCAGATTATCTTTCTGGTCTATCGCATTGCTTCTGTTACTACACCACTTCCTAACACCATATTCATCCCCGCTCTTTATCATCCGTTTAATGTCGCCACCTTCTGTGGAATGTATGTTTAAATATATAACACCACAATTTTAAATACTTTTTTGAACATTTGTAGATGCTTTTATTTCAATATATAGTAATTTAAAAAAAAACCAAAAACACACACTTGAACAGATTCCTAGGTTTTATATAAACTAGATGATAAATTTAAAACATGACGCAGTTAAGATTCGTATCATATCACATTTAATTAGTTAATGGTAATTTGTATAAATAGCCTGCGTATAATGGAAGTAAGTTAACAGCCAACAACCAACGCAAGAAATTCAGCCAGCGACCATGAATAAAGACTGTTTGTAACCAGAATGTGACAGACAAATGTTGTTTGTTTACAACAATTACGATGATTTATATTTTTTAATGTGCTTTTGCTTTGAAAAACAAAATGACTTACCTTCTAATTGGCCCCAGCTTAAAGCAGAGGTAAATGATTTCACAACAACTTTAAATGATGCATACATTGTAGATTTTTTTTTACAAAATACCGTCTAGCCTAGTACAATGGGCAGCCAATTTCTTATTCAAAGATTTTTCAAATAAACATATAGCTGAAATGTAATAATTGTATGAAAGAGTATAGCTTTATAACCGATACATATTTTTTATATGAAAACCGAAATTGAGATATTAATTATTACATATGGCTAAAATAAAAGATTGAAAACAACAGTTAAATACAAAGGTATACTCGTTGTTTTGATAATATGTTATATACCTTAAATTTTTTAAGCACTCTTAAATACATTTTGCAAAGAAAATTGGTTCCTTTTTTGTGCTATTGTTATACAAACATAAACATTCGCCTTAATTTTCTTTACTATGTTTAGATTTTTAAAAGTAATTAAAAAGTATTCCTCTTAAAGCTAATGATTACATTAATAACTATAATAATAATACATATACTAGCTTTGGATACTAGGAGAATCATAATGTAAGCTGCCCGGGCGTAATAACTAAAACAAATGTTAATGAAATATAAAAAGCAATATTCTAAAAGACATCGGTTAAAACTTTAAATTAAAGAGTCTAGCCTGACGAATTTTGTTTTTATTTTATGACACAAGTGATTGCTTAATAAAACGATTTGTTCAATCTTAACCAATTAGACTTTTAAAGAAGTTTTAGAAATAATTTCAAATGTTTATTTTAAAATTTCACAACACTCAGTATGATTATTTCTTTGAGCAAGTTGGTAAGCACTTAAAAATTTATTGTTAGGGCAATATCTGGGTGCATTATGTTTAAGAAGTAGCTTCAGACAATCAGCAAACCCTCTCTCAGCCGCGTACATTGTTACTGTATTATTACTCTCCTTGTCTCTCGGCCACACAGATGCCTTAGCTTCTAACAATATCTCCACACATTTTAAGCCATTTTGTTTTGTAGCGTGCATCAGAGCAGAAAGTCCATCATTATCCTGAATGATAAGTTTCGATTTAGATCTAATCAACATCTTTAAACACTTTTCGTGCCCATACATAGCTGCCAGCATTAAGGCTGTTGCGCCATTAATATTTTGAATGTCGAGGTCAGCCTTGTGATTAATTAACTCACTCAGACAATCTACATGATCTCCCATCGCGCTCTCCATTAATGGGGTGACTCCATATGTATCACATACGTTGACTTCAGCACCGTTACGAATCAACAGCTTAAGAAACTGAAGTCTGCCCAAAGCTGAAGCAACCAGCAACGCTTTATTTTTCTCATCAGTAGATACACCTTCATTCAGAATCTTTTGAAGTCTGGTCTCTTCTCCATTGAATGTTGCCTCTAACAAGGCCGAACAAGAAACATTAAAGAGAGTGTTTTTACCTATCTCGAAAATATCATTTTGCTTTTTTAAGTGCAATGCATCTGCGCATTCAGTATGTCCATTGTAGATAGCTATATCAAGAGCAGTTTCTCCAAAATTATTTTCCTTATCAACATCAGCCCCACTTTCTACAAGACATTTTACACACTCTAAATGTCCTTCCTTGCATGAGAACATCAAGGCCGTATATCCGTTACAATCTATACTGTTAACATCAGCCTTCAGTCTCACAAGATTTGTAAGCATGTGGACATCTCCTACCCAGGCTGCAGCCATTAACGGCGTCTTCCCCTCGCCTGCTGTGAAATTAACACTTGTCCCCTTACTTATGAGAAGATCAAATATATCAGTATTCAGGGTGATGATCGCACAGATAAGAGGAGTCATTCCGTCTTCGTCTCTTACTTCAGTGTTAAAACCAGCTTCAATAATATTAGATAAGCAATCTGTATGATTGTTTCTAACTGCAAGAATGATTTCAGAGCTCCAATTCTCGCACATGTTTCTGTTTATCTTATTTTTGGAAGCAGATATTAAAAATTGTGTACATTCACAATGACCTTTGAATACAGCGATCTTGAGTGCAGTGATTTTGTCCGTGTCCATAATGTTAAAACTGGCACCTCGCTGTAGCAGAAGATTGACAGTTTTTGGTTGATTAGCCAGGACAGCGAACATGAGAGCCGTACAGCCGTGCCTACCACACACATCCACATTAGCGCCCAATTTGATTAGTGTTACGATACTAAAATTATTCCCCTTTAAAGCTGCTTACATCAAAGGAGTAGCTTCCTGTGAGTTTGGTTTGTTTACATCAGTTAGTGATGTGATAACTGCATTGATTTCAATGTTGTTATTGTTAGCAATAGCTGATACAAGTGTAATGGCTGATATCTCCTCCCGTGCTAATGGTGTAGCATCTTGTGTGGTTAGTTTGCTTAAACCAGCTTGCGATGTAAGTGCCACATTCATTTCAACTTTATTATTGTTGGTAATAGCTGGTGCAAGTGTAAGGGACGTTCTTCTATGCTCTGATTTTTTTTCTGTACATAGTTGAACTCTTATATATGAATTAACATCTATCAATGTTTTCTCACAAGTAGGTGCACTTTGGCTAATTTCTGATACAGTTATACGCACAAGTCGATCTGTTGCACAGTTCGGTGCAATAGACACCCTTATTATAAGTCGTTCTTTTATGAGAGTTAAAAAACAACTGTACTCATTTATTTCACACTTAACTTGTGAGAACTGAGATAAAACGTTGAAAAATACTTCAGAAGACTGACTATTGCCTAGCAGTGTTTTATAAATAAGAGTAATCCATCCTTTTAAAAATTCCACTAAGTTGCCACTTGCAGGCCTCAGTTGATTAATGATCCAGTTTTCGAAATCCTGAATAGAATTCCATACACATTTGGCATAAGCCTGTGTATTCTTTGAAGTGTTGTGTAAACACATCAAACAATTATCTTGTGTTTTGTTGTACAAGGCTATGTTAGGCCTCGCTTGTGGTTTAGCACTATCTGTTATCGTTTGTCTAGAGAGATGGCATGTATATGTTTTCAACAGAATCGTTCGTTGTTTACTGTGTGCAATGTCTAATGCTGAACAACCACTAGAGTTCCGATGGGTCAATTCAGCACCCGCTTCTAAAAGTAATGCATTGCATTCAATGCCAGATTTTGTGGCAGCCAAAGTAAGAGCGGTATCGCCATTGACATCGTACATATTTACATTGGCGTTATTGTTTATCAACAATTGTACACACCTATCAAAGTTGCCGCATACTGCAAACATTAAGGCAGTAACACAGTCTTTATTGGTAGCATTTACATTAGCTCTATATTTTAATAGACTCTGCATGCAATCTAAATGTCCGCTTTTCGCAGCCAACATTAAGGCTGTCATGCCATTCACGCTTTGATAGTTCACTTCAGCGCCATTTTCAAACATTTGACAAACTGATCTGTAATCCCCTCTATAAGCAGCACTTAACAACATGTCTCCTTGAGATTTTACGTTACCTCTTCCAGTAGAAGATGTAAGCGACAATGTACCGTAATTATTGTCCCGCTGGAGACTGGTATGTGAAACAACATAAACAGGCTTTTCTACCGACTGACTGCGTGCATCACAAGAGGTAAATAACTCTACATTGGGAAACTTGGTTTTAATTTTAACAACAATCTCTTGAAAGTCCATTTTCTTTGCTATATCAAACGCAGCTTTTATATTCGTGTCATTTGTCTTTGTATTTAATAGAATATCAATAAGTATGATGTCTTTCTTAGAAACTGCAATGGTCAATGCTGTATTCTTCGAGAAATCGAAAATGTTCACATCAGTACCATGTTTCACCAACAAGTCCACACATTTTTTACTTGATTTGTATACAGCAAGTATTAACGCTGTTTGGCCGCGAGTGTTGAGTAGATCTACACTAGCTCCGCGCTTCAGTAGAGTACTCACGTTTCCAACATGAGGTTCATCGGCCGCGTACATCAATGACGTCATACCACTGTCGTCTGCAGCATTGACCTCGGCATGGTGTTTAAGTAACTCCTGAAGATGCTCTGGTTTACCGTGTTCTGCTGCTAGAATCAGCAGGGTTTTGCCACCTCTGTAACGGCGTGTCACATCCAAACCTGTCTTCAACTCCCGAGTCAGGCGGCTTATGTTTCCTGTGATAAGTTCCATCACTTGTGTAGTTTACAGCGCGTTTATTGGCACTGAAAACAAATGATTTACTGTTGTTGTTTTGTTTTGTTCAAATACCATTACTGCTATCCATTCATCAACATCATTTATTGAACATACTTAATTATTGTTTCTCTATCTAGCATCGGCTCAAAATCTATTAACAATTTGCAAGTTAACATTATTCAAACACCTAACTATTAATATATTAATATTTTAAAAAGAATAATATTAGAAATAGGCCTATATTGTTTCTATAATTCAGTAAAGAAGGATAGAATTAGCTACATATTTTAATGTATTTGCAATATATTTTCTCCATTACTTAAGCAATTACTATAGTTAAATCAAATTTTAATTATCAACAAAAATACAAATTTAAATACAAGCATAATTTAGTCTATGTCTGTCCTAGGTTACGGGTAAACACCCTTTTGTTAATATCGGGTATTTTGGATATGAATTCTTCCAGGAAGTTTCAAATTTCAAATAAATTGGGCCTACTAGCTGGGTTTTTTAGTTTCAGTCGTGTATAATGTGGTATGAGAAAAAACCCAAATTCGATCGATACTTAATCGTTGGTAGCCAAGGAATTGTGTAAACAAAGTAATGTTTATATGGCTAAACCGTCTACGGCGCAATGATCAGTTGAATCGATGTATCGATTAATTAGTCCGCTTGTCAAAAATAGATTGTCCTTGGTAAGACGCCAGGATATGTTATTATATAGATACACGTTTTACACATTGACACTAATGTTATGCAAAACATACATTTTACATTCGTAAATAATTTGTCATTGGGGGCAGTAAAAGCTTAGCCTCAGCTAAATTACTCTCTATTTTAAATTATGTTAAATTAAATTTATTATTCATTTAGCATGACTAGTAGCAAAATTATTTTCATATTGCTATAGTGCTTTCTCCCTATATTTTACAGTAAAGCTAATGCCTTAAAAATTCAATTAATTTCAGGTCGGAACTCACTTTTTTTTTCGCCTGGCAAAAAAGAAAAATCTATCATTTTTTGCGCTAATTAATGTCTTTATACTCTCGAATTGGATGATCTGTCAATATTCAAAATTTATACTATTATTGGAAGACAATATCAATTTTATAAGAGTGTATCGTTAAAGCTATAAAAATGCTTTATAAAGCAGGGATTTTTTTAATTGGCAAATCAAGTAGTATTTTGTCATTTTTGTTAGGACGCCATGTTTTCCTGGGGGGAGGGGCACTTAAATTTTTTTGAAGGGTGGGGAGGGCGTACTGAAACCTCCAGGAGGGCGTACACTGGTAAAAGTATATATTTTCTATATATATTATATTTCGTTCGGGGTGGGGGGGGGGGGGGGGGGGGTTGGCGTTTTTCTGCGGGGGGTAGAGGGGGGGGGGGTAAGGGGCAAAGAGATACCCGGAAGAAACTCTGCATGTTTTTGTTTTGAATATAACTATTTCTTTCGTAGTTAAATTTTTTTCTAAATTCGATTATCTCTTATTCCACTGATGCGTTTAAATAAAATAAAGTGTGTACGTTCAATACAACCTAGTGGCGTATCGAGGTCTGGTGTTACCCCCCCCCCCCCCCCCCGCCCCCCCCCCCCCGGGAAAAATATATTGTAATGTAAATATATAGTCTATATACATATATATAAATAAATAAATAAGTAAATAAATAAATATATATATATATATATATATATATATATATATATATATATATATATATATATATATATATATATATACTCCATATACTTGTGTAAGTATGTGTATACGCATGTGTATATGTATTCACATATATTTTTTTTTCTAAATGTATTTAATTTTTTTACCTCACCCCATATATGGATTAACATATAAATTATTACAATTCTCAACCACACCGTTCAGCTAAGGTATATTTTGCAACGTTCAGTTAATGTAACTTTCCCTCATTCACCCCCTCCCCACCCCCACAGCAGTTGATTTAAACTGTGCGCAGATAATACTAACGATTTTTAGCTATAGTCGGTTATAAATACAGCTTGATGTAGCGTATTTTCTCTCTCATTAGCAGGTTTACGTGATGGTGTCACCCCCACCCTCTGCCCTGCCCCCCCCCCCCTCCACCTTTGTAGGGATTTGTCAAATTTGCTCTTAAAAGACTATTAAACTCAATCTAATTAATCACTTAATTAAGTGGAATTATCATTTTCCTGTATAAATTTTTCTATTTTTTTGCCTTTTTTTGCTATTTTATCCCTTCGTATGCTGAGCTCACAAAATCAGGTGGACTCTACTTCATCTGACTCGTGGAGCGTCTGGATTGAAAAGGGTATTATCCCCCCACCAATTAGTGTTTTGTTTCCCATTTTAGTCGATTTTGCTGCAGAATAATAGTTTGGCTTGAATTTGATTATAATATAATTTAAAACAACATACTAAAAATCAAATGTGCGACGTTACCGAGTGGTGCAGTGGTAGTGCTAACATGAACAGTATGAGACGCATATACAGAAATACTTTGTTGTGACCCAATCTACCTAATTACTTTATACCAGTTTTGACCTACACATTTCTAACTTCAATAAAGACTGCAAATATAAAACTATAATAGGTCTTAGTAATACGCTTGTAACTAATTGAATTTAAAAATAATATTTACCATCTCTTGATTGATGAATGTTAAAATACCAGTTGAAACATACACATTACTAAAGAATCTTACTAATTATAATCTTACCTCACTAAACTTGATTACTTTCTAAAAAGACATAGACGCGAATAAAGTTGCTTCTTTAGTTTCGGTTTGAAAAACACGTAAGTTTAACTGAACTGTTTCTAGGAATGACCTATTTACATTACATCATGACGTCAAGTTATGTTGTACAAAAAAAAAACCACTGTCACACTAAATCGTAATTAAATTTTTTAAACGTTTTACAATAAAAAATCGTTAAATTTTTTTTTAATCTATATATTTACTTTAAAATCGCTGTTACGAAAAATATTATGTTCACTTTTTTATGTTTTAGTAAACACTTTAAGTTTCAGTTTCTGTGGGAATGTGTACTTCTAAGAAACGATGGTCATGCACTGTGTTAGATCAGACTGTATTGAGCTTAGCTGTTTAGGAAGGTAGGTGGCTGTTTCTTACACTATAACATTTCTTACATAAGTGTATACCAGTAACGTTTAATACTTGACATTTTTTAACTTCATGAAATAATAAATAAGTTGACATTGTTGTAATACTATTAACCAAAAGGATCAATATTTTATCCTCGATTGTAAACGCGATTTACAAATATCCTTCAATGCTTGAATTTATTTTTATGTATGCATTTGTGTCTAGATATTTAAGGGGATATGCGCGTTTTCTTTTCTATTTTTACAATTTAAGACCTAAAGCCTTTTGAATACTTTTATCGTGTTTTGCACATGAAAGTAAGTATTATATAGCAAAAAAAAAGGACTGAAAACAATTTTGGTTGTCATGGAAACCCAAAAAACCTCCGCGATTTTGAATTTTTCAGTACTTCTGAAAATGCTAAGGCTTTTTTTTTATGTAGGCCTATGCACCTATAACAATCAAATTTAAACTGCTTATATTTCAGTGTATATTAAAACTTTTGTAACGACAACTTTTTGAAATAGATACTAGTAAAAATTTTCCCAAATAATTTTTTTCTATAAAAGCCATCACAATTACCTCGTGACGAAAGTTGTATTTTGGCATAAAGAACAATTACTGAAAATATGGTGGCTATTGTTTAGGAAAAAAAATGTAGTAGGCTTTTCGTTGTTAAAAATCTGCAAACTGAGAAAAACAGCCAAAAGTAACGAAAGGTGGGTCAGGAAAATACCAAATTTGTGTAAGCTGCAAAGCGGATTGTAAGCTTTGGGTGTTTCCGAGATGATAGAAATTAAGATTAAGAAGTTTTCCATTAGTACCTACAGTTCTTCTGTTGTTCTATATGTTGTGCTGTATGTATAGCTTCGTATCCTTGTACAAGTTTGTCTTTTCATTAAGTGATTCAATCATTGAACGTGTATTGAACACTTCATGTAGAAACACACCGATTACACTGCCTAAAGCCTCCACAATCGATCATTCACCATGTATTTAACAGGGCATGTAGTAATACACACATTACACAAAAGCCTCGACAATCGATGAATTACCGTGTACAAACAGATAACACACCTGTAACACCGCCGACCTTCAAGACAACCCCGATAAAGAAAGAGCATTTGAAACCTTTTGCACGCAACATTTATTTTGTGTGATAGTTTAAGCTTATGTTTCTGTCAAAGACATACTTTGTTTGATAGTTTAAGCTTATGTTTGTTTCTGTCAAAGACATACTTTCTAGTATATTAATTTGTTTTTCTTAAAGGTAAACGTTTTTGTCTCCCCTCATAGAAAATTCAGTTTTGCAGACTCCAACAATTATCTAGTGCTTTAAATGTCTTTATTTACGTACTCCATTGTTAACCATAATAGCATCACACATATTATCCGTCTTAATTTCACTGTTTTATTTTAGACCCAGGAAGTAAATAAAAAACCTGATAAATAAGGAAATATCTGCAGTCATGGTGAAAATAAAGAAAATTTCAGCCGTAGGACTTGCTATATTTGCCTGTCTTACAACATGGTACGGTGGTGTTTTGATATATGTTGCCACAGCTGTTTTGGCTGCTGGATTAGGATACTATATAAGTGTCAAGAAAGTTTCTGGACAAGTAGGAGCTGAGGGAACTTCAACTTCTGGTATCAGAGATGTTGATGAAGTCGATCTGGCGAGACCGGAAAGCTGTAGTGACAACAAAATTAAATTCTCACATGAAGCTTCCTCAACAATCAGAGAAGGTAATGACGTGACGTCAACAGACCAGACACGTGGCGGTCATGTGAGCAGCTCCCCAGACAAGGACGACTCTCTCATCAGACCTTCACCAGAAGGCCTGGAGACCATGGTAAGAAGAGCTTCAGATTCCAGCATGCCTGACGACACGAGTGGCATCCATTCTGATGTTTCCTCCAACGGCGGCGATGACGTGTCCTTAGAAAATGACGGTGAAGAATCTGTCCCAAATCCACAAACACAACCTGTAATCAACAGGCAAGAAATCGATCTTTTGCTTATCGGGAAAACAGGACATGGCAAAAGCGCAACTGGAAACTCAATCGCTCGGAGAAAAGCTTTCAATACGTCGTCTGGGGCGTCCTCGGATACATACGATGTCCAGGAGCTGTGGACAGACATAGAAGACTTTACAGTGCACGTTGTCGACGGACCAGGAGTAGGAGAAACTAGACTAGATGATGTTGAAGCCACAGAAAAGGCTTGTTCAGATATGGCTAAAGCTATGACCAAATGTCCAAACGGGTTCCATGCATTGTTGTTGGTTTTGAAATTCGGAGGTCGTTTTACTAAAGAAGAACAAGAGTCAATCGTATTGCTGAAAAAGATTTTCGGTGAAAATATTGTACGCGATTACTGCATTATCGTCATGACGCATGGAGATAGTTTTGACCTGAATCAAGAAGATCTGAAGGTGGAAAGTTTTTCTGAATGGTTAAGTCAGCAGCCTGGTGCGCTTAAACACCTGTTGATTGAGTGCAGCTACAGGTGTATTTTGTTCAGGAACAGAACGAGGGAGGAGAAAGAAAAACGGGACCAGGTGATAGATCTACTGCAGATGGTCAGAAAGTTGAAACACCGAGATGTCCGGTACACGAACTCTCTGTTTGACGAGTTCAAGAAAGACAGAGATAGACTCATCGTTGAAGCTAAAGCCCCGCAAATTAAAGTTGAAATTATGAAAGAAACAAACTTAATTATCGAAGCAATGGGGCGTTTGAAAATATCCGATGAAAGTATGGACGAAATTGATCCTGAAATTTCATCAATTGATGAAAAAATTGAAAAAATGATTGATGTAATTAAAACTGAAGATCAAGAGACAGGGGCGCTGAATTACTTAACTGAAGAGATCACCAAACTCAAATCAAATCTTACAGAGATAAAAGAATTTAAACAAAGGAAGAGGGATGATTTGATGAAAAGAAAACTGCTTGATCAAGAACACCAGATCAAGATGGAAGAAATGAAAAGAAAACAAGCAGAGGAGGCAAATATGTACTTAGAAAAACTACGAAACGCCAGTGAAGAAGAGAAAAGTGTTATTTTGCAAAAAATGCAAGACAATGAAATCGCCGCTAAGGAACGAGAGGAACGAATCATCAAAGAATTTAACGAGAAAATGCAGAAATCTAAGGAAGAGGACGACAGGAGATGGCAAGAAAATATAAAAACACTTCAGAAAACACACGATAAACAGATGGTCACATTACAACAACACTACACAGACATGGCGAGGATGAACGAGACGGCCATGCAGGAACAGATCAGGGAACTGACGGGTAAGTCTTGGATGTCTTTTGTACAACAGAGCAATAGGGCTGGTAAGTAGGTCACCAACCAGTTCTACGGCTCAATAAAACCTGCATGAGCCATAGAACTGTTTGGTGACCTACTTACCAGCCGTATTAAGTAATGTTTAAAATGAATGAGTATTTTAAACAGAGACAATTAATATAAGGAAATGTCAATGTGTTTATAACTAATTATATTGCTGCACACACATTTTTTTTCCTTTCCGCTTTTCATTCTTAAATCTTATAATTAACATTTCCAATTTTATATAGATCTACTTTCTCAAACTACATATTTTTTTTATTCTAGAAAAACTGGAAGAAATCCAAGAGAATGCCCGGCCACCTAAGAAAGATCCCAACAAGATCGACATCAAATGTGTGGACCAGCAACACAAGTGTATCAATGTGGAGCTTGACAAGTACGATCAGATGGTGCTCCTGATGCGAGCCTACTGCGACAAGTACGGCTACCAGATGAATACCCTCAAGTTCATGTATGACGGGAATCGTGTCTTGGAGGATGACACGCCTAGCAAGCTCGGCCTGGAGGACGGGGACGCCATCGATGTGTTTTCTATGCAAGTAGGGGGCATAACCCGAAAAATAAGAACAAATCAGATGTCATACATTCCTTTGATATAAATGTTAGTGTTATAATTACCATCATTTACACGAAAGATCAAAACCAACTTTGCAGATCTCAATGACTTTACAAACATGAAAACATATTATTGAGTCTATATGAAAAATGCGATGAATCAAATATTCTAAACAGTAAAATTTGTAAAACTAAATGCCAAACATTAACGATGTCTCTCCGTGGATGTTTTATTATATCAGCGAATTGCACTATGGAATATATTTAGTAATCTTTAGAGTCCCCATGTTTTTTTTTTTTTTATTTTTTTTTTTATTTTTTTTTTATTTTTTAAAATTTTTTTTTATTTATTTTTATTTTTTTAAATTTATTTTTTATTAATTTAATAATAAAAAAAAATTTAAAAAAAAATAAATATAAAAATAAAAAAATAAAAAATAAAATTTTTTAGAGTCCCCATGTTTTACAATTTTGATTTGTGATTAGAAATATAATTAAAAGTATTGATTCATTTGTGTAAATTGACCTTCCCTTACACTTTTTGTAATTGTTTTGTTTTTCTTACTGATACTAACATATTTTCGAATAATTATTTTCTAAGAGCAAAATTACTTTTTTTTTATGAAAAAAAGGGCATCTTTATAAGGCTCTTACTAAGTATCTTGCTAGTATTAGTGATTATTCTTAAAAATCATGAGCAAACTTTAATAAGTAAATGTAGCTTAACAAATTCGAAGATTTGTGTTGTGTCTTGATAATACAAAGTTATTTATCTTACTTTTAGTTTTACTACAATCTTAACAATAGAAATGCAATTTTATCTGCCCACTAAAATGTGCTTTGCTCATTTATTTATGTTATTGCTCATTGATTTTATAGCTCATATTTTAGCAGATATTTTAATATTTTTATTGGGGTACTGAGTAAACGTAGTATATAGTAGGCTACAACAGCAGACAATTTACTGAATTTTTTTTTCTGTGAGAATAGAATGGATAGCTATTAAGCCATGTAAAATAAAAAATTTTTTAGAAAACGTTTGACTTCATAATGAAGTACTCAAAGTCCAATTGTTTCTTTTCTTTTGATGTTTAAATGGTGATAATTTTCATTAGATGATTTATCTTGTTAAATAATATTGCAATGTTGCATAAAACTCTTTCTTAATTTGAAATGATGAGTAAAAAATTGCACGTAGTTTATGTTTAATTTGAGTAACGTTTTTACCGTTCTGATAATCCTTTTTTTTTTATTGACAGTATGTATTAAATAAATGTTGAGTTGTTCTTATGTACTTTTGCATTGAATATAAGAGATCTCATATTTTCATTTGACATTTCCACTGCTTAAAATCTTTACAGAAAGTAAAACTTATGAATAGATAGCTCAAATTAATATATTCACACATGTATATTATAATTACTAAATCAATTATTTTTAAATTATTCATAAATAGTAATCAAATGTGATTTCAAAATCATACGCAACAACAAATGAATGTTCAATCACAACTAAATTACAGATACATTTCATGTTAACCAACTGCCATTATCAATAAACCTGGAGGCCACTGTACTCAAATGTTTTTATTTTGCAATATAAATTAAATTTTTACCAGAGTATGATACAATCTCTGGCTGCTTTGAATGTGTTTTTCGTTTTTAACCTCTTGCCGAAAATAAAAAGCAAAGTAAAATATGACTAACATTTTTTTTCTTCTGTGATATGTTAAAAATGTATTGGTCTAGAAAGACAGACGCAATAAAATATTACTAATATAAAGGCATTTTTTAAATTAACTTTTTAATTTGAAACAAAGCTGTGTAAAATAACGCTATAAAAATTATTTAACACTTACACAAATTTTCCATGACCATAGCGGGTTTCATGCAATTTTATAAAAACTTTTTGATTAAAAAAAACTGTAGGTGTTTTCTAATTATAACTATGTACATGTAAAATAACAACGACTAGAAAATTAAAGCTAGATTAGCTCCCCTCTGCCTTGACTTGCATCTGTATCTGCATATATAACATAAATTATGAGTTAAATGTCAGTTACTTTGTTGAATTTTATCAGTATCATAAAAATAATTCAAACAATATAACATATATTTTTAAACATTGCTAATATAATAATATTGAACTGATCTTAATTTCACTGTTCATAAATGTCTTCATGTTGATGGGAGTAGAGGTCGGAGAATTCCTTTCAACACGTTGTAGTTATTTAGTATTTGCATTACATATTTTGTCAATAGTAATAGAAATCAATCATTTGACGAAATTCAGTCTCAGCTTAATTGATATTTCAGAATATAATCTTCATTTTTATGAAAGTTTTCAATTGTTAGAAAGAGGCGAGGCTAATGATACCGAAGTTTAACTATGTTGAAGAGTTGGTTTTCTGTAGTATCATTAAAAAACATGAAGCCATTTAACGCTGACCCGCAAATTACAATATATTTGAGACTAGTCAGCTTTACAAGCAAACAAACGTGTGTGAAATAATATTAAGAGAAATTGTCCCCTCATTACGGAGGCGTCCATAAATGGCGCCACACTAGTAGCAGGAGGGGGGTCCATAATTTTGTGAGGGTGTTTGATGAGGGGTGAGGGGGTTCAGATGGTGTGGCGTCATACGTTTGCATTATAAAAAAAGCAATGTTAGAAAAAAGTGTTTTAGCCGTTATTTCGCGTTTTAGAAAACGGTTTTAATAAATTGTAAAAGGAATTGATTAAAATACTGTATGTTGACAGAGTTTAAACCAGATTTTGGGAAAAAAATATCTGTTTTAAGAAAATTTCAACTGCAATTTTGAGGGGGGGGGGGGGCGTTGTTAGCTGAAGTGTAACGTCATTTTAGGGGTGGAGGGTCTAGATTTTTGTAACGAAGTGTGTCGGAGGGGAGGTGGGGAGGTACAATCGTCAAAAAAGCGTGTCGTCATTTATGGATGACCCCTAACCTGTGTCATCCATGTCGCGACGTTGGGTAAATTGACGTCACTGTCTCGCAGTACAGAGAGCAGACAGGGGAACCAACCCTCGTATTTTACAAGTTGATGCAGGAGTGATCTTGCTCCTTCAGTGTCCCCTTTGGTTTTTGTTATTTTGGTGACTAGATCCTGAACAGAAATTTAAGAAACAACGATTTGCTTATATATATATATATATATATATATATATATATATATATATATATATATATATATATATATATATATTACGTATATATTTAAGTATCCATACCTATGTAACTTTCCTTTATTTTTACCTACTGACAACACCATTAGAAAATGAAATTGTTATATTTTAAAAACAAAGACTAAAACCAAGTTCGTATGTTCAGTGAGATATGTATGTAGTTTTTATTTTTAGAAATATGTTAAATTTATTAACCAGATTTTTTAAAAAGAAATTCCCATAGTTTTTGCATTATTAGAGATGCATTTTGTAAAACCCAACAGATGGTACAACAATACTCACAATGTCTTTCTGTGTCAGGACATTCTTGTTGTGCTTGTGTATACAATTGACAAAAACTGAAGGCTTGACGAAAGCCAGAAACATGATCTCCATCTTAGCTAAAAGTTTTTTGTTGTAGAGGTCTGAGGTGGGTTTCACTTTAATAGGATCATACATAACCTAATAATGTATTTAGAAAATGCATGCAAAAATTATTTCAAGGTTAATAACGTATTAATGCATATTGTTTAATTAAATAAGTTTTTATTATTCGTCATTGACATTTAATTCTACATGATAAAGTATTTTTTGTGCTATAAGGATTCACTGTTAACATCTTAGTAATGTATCGGAATACTATTTTATACAACATTGTGAAGCCGCCCCGATGATTGATTTAAATATTTCAACACGCTATATGTAGTAGAAACATTTTTGTTTCGGTTTATCTTTTAGACCCATTATTTTTTAACTGTATTGTTTTTTTTCATTTCCAAAAAATGTATATTTGCATTATGGAAAGATGAAGTAATGTTCACCTTTTACTTTCAACTCAGCATGTGTAGATATAGTGAGGTCAGCACCATGCCCACTCAGATTTTTTTTTTCCATTGCGTACGCTAGGTACTCATTAGAGTTGGATGGACTCACAGACGTTCTATTGATTCAAGACAGGGACCCAAACTCAAGGCTTTCATGTTAACAATCATACAATCTACTATCCGACCAAGCCGTTCTATATATTTACGTTACAGTCGTCTAAAATCATAGATTATTTTAATTTATACTTTGTTTTAAAACATAATGATATGATAATTGAAAGTACCCCACACATATACCTGCACCTTGTGCACATACCTGGTTAATCCACGTAGCCACGTGATGTAGCCCCACCCTCCCATCCTGCAACACAGACAGCAGGCACTGGTACCATCCGTCGTGTAGCAGCAGACGGTCTAACAGGAACTTAGCACCTTCCTTGTCACCTGAAGATACGGTAGCTTCCCTTATCTCCTTCTGTAAAGTAAGTTGTAATACTCTGTACACTAGGGTTACATTTATTATTGTAATAGCAGAAATAACAAACTACAGTTCACTACGTGAACCAGTGTATGTGTTAAATCAGTCCAGTAATACCATTATAACAGAAGCTTGTATAAAAAACATATTCGATTACTGATAGTTAACTAAATATAAATATGTCTAGCTAATATATGCCTATTTCATAACCATTTCCCTAACCCAAACTCTTACCCAATTCTTACTAAAGTCTTGATCCTAATTTTCTGAGCGTAAACAAAATTTGAAATTACAATACTACAAACAACTTAAGACAACTTTTTCGGAAGTCTATTCTTGGGCATTAGTAATACCAATACTTGAGTGAACCACTGGTTCTGTAAGTTATAGCAAATTTTGTAAAATTTGGTGTAAATGTTTTGTAAAATTTGTTTAAAATTTACTCTACATTTTCTACGCTTGTTGCTGTAAAAACAATTACATTAAATTTAATATTTTATATCACTTTCAATCTTTCAAAAACAAAGAGTTTAATGAATGGTTCTATTTAATATAGAAGGTAATGAAAGTTTACAAATGAATGAACAATTACCACATCTTTATCTGTTAGCACGCTGGTGGTATACTGATTAAAATTTACAAATTTATGAAATAATTACCAAGTCTTTATCTGTCAACACGCTTGTGCTGTACTGATGAAAATACTCCAGAACGTTTAGCGGCTTGACAAAAGCTTCAATAATGGGAGCTAACTTATTGACAGTCTCAGTTTTGTAGTCTCTTTTAACAGGCTCATACAGAAGCTAAAACCAGTTGTAAACACAATCATTATGATTATATGCGTAGCATCTGATGTGATGCAATTAAAATATGAAGATTTTATTTATTACAAGAATATGAAACAAATTTAAAATTTACAGAATACATTAATTCAAAGGAAAATTTCTTCTTAACTTTTTGAACCCGCAGTACTCGGTTAGAGTTATAAATCTCCAAGCCCGATAAAGCAATACTTTACTCCTAAACCCAGATCGGCAGTGCGTACTTCTTCTTCTTCGTTCTTTATTAATAGTGTTGGAAAGGATCGAGCCTTATCTGCAAGAGTGTTTCAACTCGAGACTTTTTTTTTCGACTTTAACAACCATGAGCTTTGCCGACTCGACCACGCCTACAACACAATTAAGGATACGTGTCAGCTGATTATGCGCCATTGAGGTTATTGCCTTCGATTTCAGCCTGCTTTTCTTTTTGGATTTGCTTCCACAGCCTTTATCCAACCAAGAACAAACTACAAGGCAGCAGTTGTTTCATTTGGAATTGTCTCTCCTAGAAGAGTGGCTGTCCCCAGCTAACGAGCCTCATCTGCCCGAGGAGACCGTCGATAAAATTTCGTTAATGAAAAAGTACGTAAAATGTACTGTTAGACTCGTCGTAAGTCTCTGTCAAGACTCCGCCCATGAACCTAAATTTTTTTTTTATAATTTACAATTTTCAAAACATACGGCAATTGAAGAAGGGTTCACCTGTTTACTCTCCCTAACATGAGTTCGGTACCCATGAAAGCTGGGATGTTCTACTGATTTAAACTCGGATTCGAACTCAATACTTTCGGTTACCAGTCTAGCGCTCTACCTCTAAGAGACGGCGTTTCATATACTTAGTACAATTCATTAAGCTGTAAAATATTTTACAATTATTATGTATCCATATTTCCCCCAAAGACTATCCATAGTTTCACCTTCGTCAATAAGCTAGGGAAATACCTGCCTTATCCATTCAGCAACATTGTTCAGTTGGACATGTTCGTCTCTTAACACAGAGAGTAGACAGTCCGTCCATCCATCGTACAAACTTAACCTCTCCAGCAGACAGATAGACCCATCTCTATCTCCTCTGTCTTTTGTTATATGTGTGATGTACGCCTGCAAGTTGACACGATGTACTCAAGATGTTATTCGTATGTATTTCTTAATTTAAAACATAAACCTTGAATATTATTTCAAGATGTTGAATATTCAAAAGTATTTCTTAGTTTAAAACATAAAACTTGAATATTATTTAATGAGCTACTTTTAAAAAAAGTATTTAAATAAAAGTTAACATAATATTTTATTTCCAATCAAACAACTTAAAGAAAACAATAAAAGTAAATATCGTTACATAAAGAATAATAAGCAACACTATGATTTAAACATACAACATCTAGTTAAAAACTTTGAAATTGTAAGTAAACTTAAATAGTGAATTGAGAACAATTAGGAAAAAAATATTGGTACAATGCAACACACATTTTCTTACCATATCATCCCCAGTCAGAACATTTGAGTTGTATGTATGAAAATGCGGAAGAACCTGGTTTGGTTTTATAAATGCTAAAAAGATGTCTCTTAATTTCCCCGCGAATTTTGAATTTTTTGTCTGGGTTCGTGGTTTTGATTCACGTATCTGCATATTTGTCCTGTGGTTTATAAAAAAAAGAAACAAAAGAATATTAATAAAATAAATGAAAATTTGGACACAACAATGTATCGACAATTATCTTTTTACAAGTAAGTCAAATATAAGTATTTTGTATACAACCTTCAGACTTTGCTGACCAAATTTCGATATATCCACTTAAGGAACATTTAAAAAACAAAGAAATAACTTACATTTGTGAACTGATTGAGGCTTCGCAATCAAAATCTACTGTTGAAAATAATTAAAAAGTAATCAACAAAATTGCTTTTAATATATTATGTAAAGTAATTGTTTAAAGTAAATAGGCCCACATAAAATCTTAGAACATGTATCTTTTTGTTTTTGTAATATGTAAAAAAAGTTAAAACATAAGTTAATTTGCAAACGATGTACTTAAATATAAATGTGTTAACTGTTTTAAATTAATCAAAGTATAAATAACGTAAAGTGCTATGCAAACTAATATTCTAATCAACACTAATAGGATGAGGACAATGATTTATTTACAGTTGTGTGACATAGATTAATTGTTAAACCACGAGCATACAGAACATACAGTTTGAATACGCTTCAACTAATTGAGGTCACGTCGTTATGTCTTAACCTACAATCTTACAAATACAGCTTTTTGACGATACCACTGTTATGTGGACTACATGTTAAAGACATTAACAAATTTACCACTTCCATGTGGTCTTCTTGTTATAGACAACAAGAAAATTAACCCTTTACTACAGTTTATTACAAACATCAAGAAATTTACCACTGCCATGTGGTCTAGTATCACAAATATCAAGAACGTTAACTCTGTTTGGCGGTCAACTGTTTTGTGTTACAGACATAAAACTTACCGTCTTCCAGGCTTGTAGAACGTGAGCAGCCCTGTCCCTTCAGTCTGTCCACCACGTGTGAGTACTTATCTTGAAGTGACTCTATAAAACGTGAGTACGCCTCTCCAGGTCCAGCGTTGAGTAACTTCTGCACCAGAGCTTTCGCTCGATCTGTTTTGTTAGGCGCCGACTCAACTTCCGCCATGTCTTCAGCGCTTATCACGTCTTCCTCAAACAGCACATCTGTGATATCCTTAGCCTCTAACTCATGCAGTAAAAACCTGAAGTTCTTCTGTATTTTCCTTTCATCATCTAGCTTCAGTCTCCCTTTTTTAGGCATTCTTGTTCATACATAAATTTAAAAAAAAAGAATGGCTTTAAACATAATAAAGTTCCATAATCGTTGTTTTTTATTACAATAAGTAGGCATGGTAACTTTTCTTATTTAAATTATTTAAAGGTCTTACCTATGATAGCAACATCTGTTTCATACATAGAAATATCCGTTACGTTCCATTCTGTATGTGAAGTTTTCAAGTCAGCTAAGTTTTAAGTAATGCTTACGACACCTATTGTTTCGTTTTCCTAGAAAGTCGATATTTTTCGGTAAATGTTACGTGAATGACACAACCCTACCTGGAGAAAGCCAGTTCCAGGTATATTCCAATGATCGATTACCTGAGGTGTAAAGGTAACTAATCCTTTGACAGGATATGGCAATCACTTCGAGATCAATGTCAAATCGTAAAAAGCAGGTCCCATGTTTGTATTGATTTTCCGTGTGATTATTAATCTGTTGAATAATTATTGAATGCGACTAGCATTCGATATTAACGAAAAATATTTTGTCTTGTTATATTTTTTAATTCAAAAATATAAAAAATGTGTTGTTTAGGTTAAGCTATTAAAAAACCTTTTTTTTAGATGTCATTCGGCGTAACGACTTCACCATATAACGACAATTAGTGGTATAGGTTAAGACGAGTTGGGTCGGAAAGTCACTGGGGTTAACATGAATGAAGATGTAAGAAGAGAGCAAAGATGTGTGGGCCATGTAAGGAGACCGCTAGTTTGTAAGATGCGTGGGCCATGTAAGATGCGTGGGCCATGTAAAGAGAGAGCTAGCTGGTAAGATGTGTGGGCCGTGTAAGATGTGTGTGCCGTGTAAGACGTGTGGGCCGTGTAAGATGTGTGGGCCGTGTAAGATGTGTGGGCCGTGTAAGATGTGTGGGCCGTGTAAGATGTGTGTGCCGTGTAAGGAGACCGCTAGTTTGTAAGATGTGTGGGCCATGTAAAGAGAGACCTAGCTTGTAAGATGTGTGGGCCGTGTAAGATGTGTGGGCCATGTAAAGAGAGAGCTAGCTTGTAAGATGTGTGGGCCATGTAAGATGGGTGGGCCGTGTAAGATTTGTGGGCCGTGTAAGACGTGTGGGCCGTGTAAGATGTGTGGGCCGTGTAAGATGTGTGTGCCGTGTAAGGAGACCGCTAGTTTGTAAGATGTGTGGGCCATGTAAAGAGAGAGCTAGCTTGTAAGATGTGTGGGCCGTGTAAGATGTGTGGGCCATGTAAAGAGAGAGCTAGCTTGTAAGATGTGTGCGCCATGTAAAGAGAGAGCTAGCTTGTAAGATGTGTGGGCCGTGTAAGATGTGTGGGCCATGTAAAGAGAGAGCTAGCTTGTAAGATGTGTGGGCCATGTAAAGAGAGAGCTAGCTTGTAAGATGTGTGGGCCGTGTAAGATGTGTGGGCCGTGTAAGATGTGTGGGCCGTGTAAGATGTGTGGGCCGTGTAAGATGTGTGGGCCATGTAAGATGTGTGGGCCGTGTAAGATGTGTGGGCCATGTAAGATGTGTGGGCCATGTAAGATGGGTGGGCCGTGTAAGATGTGAGGGCCGTGTAAGATGTGTGGGCCGTGTAAGATGTGTGGGCCGTGTAAGATGTGTGGGCCATGTAAGATGTGTGGGCCGTGTAAGATGTGTGGGCCGTGTAAGATGTGTGGGCCATGTAAGATGGGTGGGCCGTGTAAGGAGACCGCTAGTTTGTAAGATGTGTGGGCCATGTAAGATGTGTGGGCCATGTAAGATGTGTGGGCCGTGTAAGATGTGTGGGCCATGTAAGATGTGTGGGCCGTGTAAGATGGGTGGGCCGTGTAGGGAGACCGCTAGTTTGTAAGATGTGTGGGCTGTGTAAGATGTGTGGGCCGTGTAAGATGTGTGGGCCGTGTAAGACGTGTGGGCCGTGTAAGATGTGTGGGCCGTGTAAGGAGACCGCTAGTTTGTAAGATGTGTGGGCTGTGTAAGATGTGTGGGCCGTGTAAGATGTGTGGGCCGTGTAAGATGTGTGGGCCGTGTAAGATGTGTGGGCCGTGTAAGATGTGTGGGCCGTGTAAGATGTGTGGGCCGTGTAAAGAGAGAGCTAGCTGGTAAGATGTGTGGGCCGTGTAAAGAGAGAGCTAGCTGGTAAGATGTGTGGGCCGTGTAAGATGTGTGGGCCTTGTGTGGAGACCGCTAGTTTGTAAGATGTGTGGGCCGTGTACGTTTCTGGAGCGAGAGTTAAGTTCGATCCACCACATTTGCTGATCATGGTCGTTTTCTCAACTTAATGTAGAACGTGAAACACACTCCCGTAACATATGGCCCACATAACAGATTAGCTGACGTAATGAATTTATTGATCAGGCAGTATTAAATTATAGATAGCAGTTTCTAGCTGATACTGTTTTCCAGGAAAGCCTAGTAGTATTTTACATTACTTTCAAGATCACATGCATTTAAATAACTAATTGTAAAAATAAAGTTTAAATAAAATGGAAATATATGTGATGCATTGTTAAGCATAGTGAAGTGAATTAATAAAATATTTATTGTAAGAGTTAAAGCTTAAATTAAGAAATTAAATATAAAGAATCTTTACAGATAGCCTATAAAAGACATAACTCAGATTTGATATTAAACTTTAACTATTTCATCAATCTGAAATGATTGTCCCCTTAATAGTTCCAATCCAACTTTTACCTATGTAGAGATAACACAAATAATAGTTGAGCTAATTGTATCTGATTTGTTTAAATTTTCTTTATTTTTTCCTTTATTTTTGGAACCCAATTTTCAACGAAAAACAACTTTAAAAATATCGAAATTCAAACAAAACAGATATTATTACTGACATATGTATTACACTATTTAAACTCATTTGTTTCTTTAAATTGTTTCTCTCCAATTAATTTAAAAATTTCAATAGAACATTTCTAAACGAACATTTGTTAAGTTGTTCATTCTAAATTGTGCATGTTAAAAATCTGAATTATATTCAATCTGTTTAAGTAAATTCTATTGTAAAATGTATTTTAACTTAAGCATGGTACTTATAGTATTCTGATAAATTACTAAGTAATTCTTGATAAAATTAAAATGTTGATAATACAAAAGAAATATTTAGAGCTATATTTTAGCTACGTTAATCTCTGTGTCAAACTTTTTCTCACAAACTGTAAGATGGAGACTCGAACTGGGGACTCGGTCTGGTCCTGCCTCACACGATTAAACTTGCTTTCTATCTCCTTGACCACTCCATCGTTTAATGTTAAAATACATTTTTCATTTGGCGGCTCCACAGTACCAGGACACACATCATCTTCTCCCTCCACACAGTCGTCATTACATATTCTCGGCGATTGCGTCCCATCACTACCCGCAGGAGAAGAAAAACTTCGCTTAATTCCCTTTACTTTAGACGGCCTAGGCAATGTAATTTGTTGCATCCCCATGCGGGCTTCAAACTTCTTCGCCAATTTTCGTACAGACGTTTGCGTGTTTCCTCCTCTTTCAAAAGCTACAGGTTCCATTTCGCCATCTTCTTCCACAAAATCTGTTGACGACTTCTCCGAGGTTTCTTCGCGGGAATTTGTTTCAGGCGAGAAAATCTTACTTTCTCTCAGTTCTCTTATCTCATTGTCGAGGTCCTCTTTTAGAAAAGTGAGGAGATTTTTAGCGGCATTTAATGAACCAGTACCTTTATCTTCCTCAAGAATAAGTTTGTAAAAATATTCAGCGTTATCCCGAATGTCCTCAAAATTAGAGAGCAGGGTCATGGTGTCATGTGCTTCATTAACAGCATTGTAAAATTTTTCTCTTAGAATACAAATTCTAAGGAAGAGTTCGTCACTAAGGAGTGGCCTTTCCATCTGTCTGATGAAATCATCTCTGGCTTTTTTAATCGATCGAAATACCTCATTCGTGTACCTTTTTCCATTGATAGGTAAGTTATCGATCATTAAAATCAATTGCCTCAGTTGCAATATCAGCACAGATTTATCTTCTGTGATGTTGTCAAAGAGGACGATTCGGTTGTCTACCTCACGGAGTAATGCAGTAAAGTTCTGATCCGTCTGTTGAGACACCCAGTCTACAAATTTCAGATTTCTCTTCCTGACTTCAGGATCTGTAACAAAGTTGTCTCCGCCTGTCATGACGATAATCCCATGTTTGGCAATAAAATCTGGACCAAACGTTGTCTTAAACAACTCCGCCGCATACACGTCCTCCTTAGTGAATCGGTTCCCACACCTTACAATGAACAACAGAGCGTGATAGCCTATCACATTAATCGTCATAGCATGAGAAATTTTCTCGATAAACTTGAGGGCGTCTTCCCTCTTGTTGTAGCGGGTGTCACCGATCCCAGGACTGTCCACGACCTTGAGTAGACGATTCTCGAAGTACGATACATCCATCTTAGCCTCATCAGTTACAGAGGTTAGTTGTGAGTTGCTAGTGAAACTTATTTTCCTTAAAATTGAATTGCCTGTAGCACTCTTTCCTTGTCCAGTTTTGCCCACAAGCAATATATCTGTTGTTTTTTCTTCCTCCATTGTTTCCATGGTATCTTAATTAGTAAAAATTAAAAAAAAGTAGTTACATAATTGTATGAATCGATTTCAATATTTTCCTTCTTTATATACATAAATGTTAATACATTACTATACAATGATTTAAAAATCTAGATTTGTTTCCAGTTTCATTTTTACACAACCTTGAGTTTAGAATTTCTCAATTCATTCATAAACAACAATTTAGTCCTTAACATTTCCCGTTCGTGCCCAAGACACATAAGGCAAATGAAGAGATAGTGTGGTCAACACTAGGAGCAGCTGCCTTATTTAGGTTAGTTGGGTGGACTCGAGGACATTCTACTCACTTGAACCCGGATTCGAACTAGAGACTTTCGGGTTAGCAGTCTATCTGTCCATCACTAGTCAACGCCACCACATGCAATTTAATAGCCCTTTAAAAGTATATATTTGTATCTGTTACGGGTCGTTGTTACGGGTTATTTGAGGTCAGGTTAGAATAGGGTAGAATAGTCTCGAACTAGGGTGGGGGGAGTGCGTGTGTGAGTTGAGTTCACCCTACTGTGTAATAACCCCGGTGTGTTTATGTATTGTAATCCCAAGGTCGAATGCGGGTATAAAAGCGTGAGTTAACGATTGTGGTAGGTGAGCGGTTACTGTAAAGAATTGAGACGGAATAAAAGTAGTGAACGTTAACACGAGTCGTTCTTGAGTTGAAACTAAACCTGAACGTAACAGTATCCCACATCAGGATCTTTTAGAAATTTATCCACATCATTCGTCATAAATGCATGAGTTGTTTTTTAGAACACTTATCTCTTGACTTTAAAAAATCAAGCTTTTTTTAACAACAAAACACATAACACGTTAAACACAAAATGTGTCTGACCTGGTCTATCGTTGATAATGGAAGCTCCAGTAAATCGTGTAAAAGAATAAAATAACAAAAGCTTTAGTTAAACAAGAATTACACACACACTATTTATTACAGCACATTGAATGCAGAAACAGTGGGCATTAAACACATTCTGCATTTTACAGGAAAATATATTAATCCGCAATAACAGCTGTGGTATGCTGGATAAAATAAATCGATGTGAGAAATCCCTTTATATTTTTATTTTTTTCCATTTTCCCATAGTCTGCAGCCTTCGTTAAGCTCTCTCTTTGGTACCTTCTAATATTTTAAAACCTTTTTTATTGTTATTTTTTAACCTTTCTTTAATGCATTTTTTTGTTTCTTGTTGTAAACTCGTAATTATCATGCCACTTGTCTGTTCCGTGAAAAAACATGCATTCTAACCAGCTTATCTTTATTTACTGCCATAAATCATACGATACTGTCAGACTATTAAAGATGCGGTCTTCAATTAACAATTGAATTAGTATTTAATTAACAATATTAAATGAACAGCCCGCTGGTTGATGTTCTATAGTACCTCCCAATAAAGCAAAGCTGTTAATTGATGGGATGTCAAGGTTGGATGACATTGTCGGATGCTAGTGTCGGATGGCATGGTCGGATGACATGGTCAGATGACATGTTTGGAAGACATGGTGGTATGAAAATTTCGGATGACATGGCCGGATGTCATGGTCGGATGACTAGTTCGGATGACATGGTGGAATGACAAGGTTGGATGACATGGTCCGATGACATAATTGGATGACATAGTGGGATGATATGTTCGGATGACATGGTCGGATGACATGTACGGGTGACATGGTGGGATGACATGATCGGATTAAATGTTCGGATGACATGGTCGGATGTTATGGTTGGATGACATGGCTGGATGACACGGTCGGATGACATGGTTGGATGACATGGTCGGATGACATAGCCGGATGACATGGTGGGATGACATGTTCGGATTACAAGGTCGGATGATCATGGTTGGATGACATGATCAGATGACATGTTTGGAAGACATGGTGTGATTGCATAGTCGGATGACATTGTCCGATGACATAGTCGGCTGACAATCCTCGGGTCACCCAGCTCTAATGGATACGAGACTAATGCGGCTGGCCATAATGCTTTCAACAGTATTTATTTCTATGCCGAGACAACACAAAAAATTTAACTCTACTCTACTCCATCTGCCCACTGTTCAAGGTGGGTGAATTCCTTAAAATTACCAACATTCAAATAACTTATATTGCAAGCAGGTATTAATTGTATCGTTGCAAATGCTTATTACTACATAGTTCTGTTTGGTTTTTAGAATGACTGTTGCATGCATTGGATCTGTACTTGATGTTTGGGATATGAATATTCCGTAAATATAGAGCTTATTTCGTATATGGTGTATGTCTGTCAGCTTTTATGTGTCAGTACGTCTGAATATTTTTTTTTGTATGTGTTATGTGCATGTGTCCGTGTCAGTAAGTCTGTGTATGTGCTTTGTGTGTGTTATGTAAGTGAACAATGTGTTGAGTTCGTGCAGTGCAATTTTTGTGTATATTCTGAGTATATCAAGTATATTAAGTGAGATTTTGTTAAATATTGCTTTTTTAGATTTTAAACGTAATAACAGCTTTGTACATGTGTTTGGGAAGATAACATTATTCTTTGTCATTTGTTTTTTGCTTTGTAAATAAAGTGCAGTTTTCGACAAACGCATTTTGCCATGCAAATAATTTTAAAATTTAAAACTTGTTTTAAAATAAACTAACATCAGATTATCCGCAGTTAGCTGCATGAGCCAAGCCGCGACTGAAAGGATGACTAGATTTCCTTCATACATCTCTGCGGGGGAATGGGATCACCGAATCCACTCCGCCCCCCCCACCTCCAACCACTCTTCCCTTCCCCAACATAGCAAGTATATCGCTCCAAACATCCACCCAATGCAGCCCACTTCTCTACGAAATACAAAAAAGTATGTACTTTCTATACTAAATATATATATAAATATTTACTTGTATAAATATATACTTGTACCAATGTCCTCCCCATCACCCCCTCCTACCATTCTGAAAATTTATGTATGCACTCCCAAAATTTTAAGTGCCTCACGGAAAAAAATAACATTTGAAAGAAAATCTTCAAACGACCACTGGGGGAAGCTCTATGATTAATGTAAAGAGACCGCTAGTTTGTAAGATTATGATTCATGTAAGGAGGCCGCTATTTGTAAAATATAAGCATCGGCTTACTTGAAAACCAACTAGAAATGTTACTGTTTAAGTTTAATGGACGCAAGTATGGGTCGATTTACCATATGGACAGATCCTTTTACTTGTTGGCAAGTAAATGTAGAACGTGAAACACACTACCGTAACATATGGCCTTAATAATAACATAGAGCAGATTAGCTGACGTAGTGAGTTTATTGATCTGGCAATGTAAAGTTGTAGAAAGCAGATTCTATCGATACTGTTTTCTAGGAAAACCTAGTACTAGTTTACATTACTTTCAAAATCCCATGCATGTAAATGATTAATTGTCAACATTTTGTTAAATTTAAATAACACTAGACTACCCGTCATCCGTTGGATAACTGTGGGTTTCGGAGGTCATCCATAAAAAACATCACGTCTGTCACTTATAGTCACAAAAAACCAGACCCCACATTCAAAAAGATTATTTTTATCTTTTAAAAACACCGAAAACACCGATTTCTTAATATCCCTTCATATACTGACGTCACAGTTGACCTACTCAACTCTACTTCACCTGCCCAGTGTCCCGCCAAGTCTCAGACAACATGTTTTTATCGTTTAAAAAAACGATTCCAGCCGAGCATGTCTCTGACCACACTATCCCTTCATATGCTTAGGACAAAGAAACAGATTAACTCTACTTCACCTGCCATTCACATCTAAAAAATAAAAAAAAAATTGAAAAAAAAAATAATTACCATTGATGTATTGGTCTAGAACCTGTGCCACCCGCATGCAAGCCAATTACACTAACAACTTAGCTAATTAACTAATGAAGTCACAGATGTATTTTTATAATATACTTTAATACTTTAAGTCTCCTTATGCAACTTGATTTACGCACATAGATCTAGATCTAGTCTAGTAGTAGTAACTTTTAAATTAAATTTTATCTTAAATTCACCAAACAAAGATTTATATAAAATAACGAAGATCTGAAACTATCTAGATCTAGATAGAATTGTCTAGATCTAGATTATACGACTCGTTTGCTTAATTCTTAAGTCTAGTATTTGCGTAACTCTTGCTAGATCTAGAAATTCTAGATCTTTAATCTAGATCTAATCATTAGATTGATAGACCTATTCTAGCTAGATAGATCTAGATCTAAATAGATAAATCACAAAGATTTATATCAAATATTTAAGGACTGAAAAATGTATTATGATTATAAAATGGATTGTATTTGTATCTAATTAATCTTTGGTATGTATCTAATTAATCTTTTGTTTGACCTAGATTCTAGATCTAGATCTATAAATAACTTTCTTGGACAGATTGTAGAGCTAGAGAAATTTATTGTAAACCTAAATGAAAAAGACAGTTGAAAATTTATATAAGTTTTGGAACGCAATAAAAACAGCAAACGGACATATTGTTAAAGTTATGGCCGACAGAAAATTAGATTTAGAACGCGTTAAACTTTTGAATGGTCCTTTGATGGAAGCCGCCATCTTATTGTACTAAAAAGTAAACAAAACTTGTGACGTCACTTTTCAGTCGTGTTAAGCCATTGTTCTAAAACTTTAAAATTAATGTGGTTAATCTACCTATGAATAAAACAATAAATTAATTAACGTCTTTAAATAAATTTCTGAATAACAGTCTGTCTGAAAACAAAAATTGTTCTCTACCTACATACTATTTTACAGCTCTCCACATAGAGTAGACCCATTTACAATAGTCAATCAGACAAACAAATAAACAAAAAATAAATATTCAAACATGTAAACAAACATGAATTTTAGTAATATATAGATGGAAATATATTTGATGTAATGTTAATCAAGATCAAGTGAATTGATATTCTAATTATTGTAAAAATTAAATTGTATTATATTAAATTACAAAGTACAACGATTCTCTACAAATGTAGAATATAATTTATAATTAAAATTTCAAAGTGCTAAGAAATGGATTATGTAGTAGTCGCTTAACTGTTTAGCGCTAACTGAGTATATAATATATTACATAGTTACAATTTTAATTTTGGTTGTTACTTAATACATTGCTGTATGTTTAAATATGTATTACATACGATTACTGGCAAACAGTGAGGTTAAAGGTTCATACCTACATTATTAACTAAATTTTAACGATTTTAGAAGTATATTCTAGTCTAGTACGTTGGTTTCGTACCTAACGTTTTACCTATGTTAAAATATCACACATAAAAAGTTATCTCGGTGATGTCCCTTTATTGTTTCCCTTTATTTTTGTTATAACTTTTGAAACCTAAACTTCAATAGAAATAAAACTTTAGCAAAAGTAAAATCAAACGAAAACAGTTTGATTGGTGTTTTCAAACAACATCTAGGCATAAATTTCATAACCATTAAAATGAAGATAATCTTATAGCTGATATATTTTATAGATATAATGAAACCCTGGTCACAACATATTCGTCTATTTATTTCACTATTTAAACTCAATTTGTACTTTGAATTTTATTCATTTAAAATTAATATCAAACTTTCAAGTAAAACATTGATTTTTAAATGACATATTCTTTAAAATACGAATAATAGTATTATAGTTTATGTTTTATTTTAAGAATTATAATATTAATATAAGGATAACATATTAAGTAATCCTTAATAATTGTTACATTTATAAAGAAAACACACTTTAACTGGAATTGTATTTCAGTCACCTTATACAGCTAGTTAAAATTTTTTTCACAAACTGCAAGACTGAGACACGAACTGGGGATTTGACCTGGTCCTGCCTCACACGATCAAATTTGCTCTCCATCTCCTTGACCACTTCATCGTTCAGTGTTAAAATACATTTTTCCTTTGTTGACCCCACAGTACCAGGACACATATCATCTCCTCCCTCTTCATAGTTGTCAGTACATATTCTCGGCGATTGCGTCCCATCATTACCCGCAGGAATAGAAAAACTTCGCTGAATTCCCTTTACTTTAGATGGCCTAGGCAATCTCACACTTTGCTGCGTTGTCAAGCGGGGGGATTCAAACGCTTTAGCTATATCTCGTACCGATTTTTGCGTGGTTCCTCCTCTTTCAAAAGCTACAGGTTCCATTTCGCCATCTTCTTCCACAAAATCTGTTGACGACTTCTCAGAGGTTTCTATGTGGGGCATTGTTTCAGCTCTAGGCGACACATCTTTAGTTCTTCTCAGTTCTCTTATCTCTTTGTCGAGGGTCTCCTTCAAAAACGTGAGGAGATTTTTAGCGGCATTTAATGAACCAGTACCTTTATCTTCCTCAAGAATACGCTTGTAAAAATATTCAGCGTTATCCCGAATGTTCTCAAGTTTAGAGAGCAGGGTCGTGGTGTCTTGTGCTTCGAAAATAGCTTTAGAAAATTTTTCTCTGAGAATACAAATTCTAAGAAACAGTTCGTCACTAAGTAGTGGCCTTTCCATCTGTCTGATGAAATCATCTCTGGCTTTTTTAATCGATCGAAATACCTCATTCGTGTACCTCTTTCCATTGATTGGTAAGTTATCGATCATTAAAATCAATTGCCTCAGTTGTAATATGATCACAGATTTATCTTCTGTAATGTTGTCAAAGAGGACGATTCGGTTGTCTACCTCACGAAGTAATGCAGTAAAGTTAGGATCCGTCTGTTCAGACACCCAGTCTACAAATTTCAGATTTCTCTTCCTGACTCCAGGATCTGTTGCAAAGTTGTCTCCGCCTGTCATGACGATAATCCCATGTTTGGCAATAAAATCTGGACCAAACGTTGTCTTAAACAGCTCAGCCGCGTACACGTCCTCCTTAGTGAATCGGTTCCCAAACCTTACAATGAACAACAGAGCGTGATAGCCTATCACATTAATCGTCATAGCATGAGAAATTTTCTCGATAAACTTGAGGGCGTCTTCCCTCTTGTTGTAGCGGGTGTCACCGATCCCAGGACTGTCCACGACCTTGAGTAGACGATTCTCGAAGTACGATACATCCATCTTAGCCTCATCAGTTACAGAAGTTAGTTGTGAGTTGCTAGTGAAACTTATTTTCCTTAAGATTGAATTGCCTGTAGCACTCTTTCCTTGTCCAGTTTTGCCCACAAGCAATATATCTGTTGTTTTTTCTTCTTCCATTTTTCCATGGTATCTTAATCAGTAAAAATAAAAAACTAGTTACATAATTGTATGAATCGATTTCAATATTTTCCTTCTTTATATACTTAAATGTTAATACATTACTAAACATTGATTTTAAAATCTAGATTTGTTTCCAATTGTATTTTTTTTTCTTTACACGAGCTTGATTTTCCAATTTCTCAATTCATTCATAAACAGCAATTTAGTCATTAACTTTTCCCGTTCATGCAAACGACGCATATGGCAAAAAAATAGAGTTCATCTGCTACAGAGACTTTGGTTTATGAAAGGATAGTGTGGTCAACGCTATGACCAGATGCCTTATTTAGGTTAGTTATGTTTCATCAGAGCTGGTTGGACTCGGGGACTTTCTACTCACTTGAACCCGGATTCGAACTAGAGACTTTCGGGTTTGCAAAGTCACCACATGCAATTTAATTACCTTTAATAAATATATTTTTATCCCACATCAGGATGTTTTAGAAAGTTCTCCACATCAATCATCATCATCATAAATGCATGAATTTTTAAAAAAAAAAATCTTATCTCTGGACTAAAAAAAAATCTACATTTACTTTCAAGATTTTTTTTAATTAACAAAACACATAAATGTATGAGTTTTTTTTTTTAGAACACTTATCTCTTGACTAAAAAAATCTACATTTACCATCAATTTTTTTTAACAGCACAACACATAACACATTAAACACAAAATGTGTCTGACCTGGTCTATCGTTGATAATGGAAGCTCCAGTAAATCGTGTAAAAGAATAAAATAATAAAAGCCTTGGTTAAACAAGAATTACACACACTATTTATTTCAGCACATTGAAGACAGAAAACAGTGAGCTCTATAATACATTCTGCATTTTACAGGAAAATATAATAATCTGCCGTAACAGCTGTGGTGTGCTGGATAACATAAAATCGATGCGAGAAATCCCTTTATATTTTATTGTCAGCAGACTCTATTTCAATGTTATATTTTCCTTATTCCCATAGTCTTTAGCCTTCCTTTAGCTCAGTCCTACAACATCTTTAGTGCCTCTAATATTTTAAAACCTTTTTTGTTACCATACCAAACTTTTATTAAGACATTTTTTCTTGTTGTAAACTTGTAACTACCAGGCTACTTGTCTGTTCCGTGAAAAATAAATCATAAAAAACGTTTTAATAACAATAAACTATGTAAAAATGCACTAAAAAGTAGAAAATAAATTATACAGTACTATTTAATTTACTATAAAGTGGGTCACTTTAGATACCTTTACTAATATTTAGGAAGAAACCCACGGTTTTCTTTATTGTAATTTAAATAGTAGTGTATAATTTATAATTTATTTTCTCCTTTTTAGTGCATTATTACATAAAAGCTTGATATTAAAACGTTTTTTATGAAATTTGTTTTTAGTACTTTACATGGTTTTATGTACAATAGAGTTACATGACTAAAAACCATGCGTGCCTATTGAACGTGATGACGCGCTATTGAACTTGATGACGCGTGTGGAGTAGTAGAATAGAACTGCCTACTAGTTTGGTCAAAATTTTAATTTATTCATAAAAAAAATTAATTAGCCATCCAATTAAATCAAATTTAATGCCACGATGAATTGTCTTCATGTCTTGACCTACTTTCCAACTACGAACCGTATCGCTCGGGCGTTTCGATCTAGACAGACAGACAGACCGACGAGGAAGTGAGTTAAATAAAAGCTTGAAAATGCATTATTACCAGCTTATCTTTATTAAATCCCATAAATTATTCTATCCTGTCAGATGCGGATTTTAGATAAGATTTGAATTAGTAATTAATTAACAATATTAAATGAACAGCCTGCTGATTGATGTTCAAGATTTATTATCTCCAAATGAAGCAATGCTGTTAATTGAAGGAATGACATGGTCAGATGACATGGTTGGATGATATGATTGGATGACATTGTTGTATGACATGGTTCAATGACATGGTTGGATGACATGGTTGGATGACATGGTTGGATGACATGGTTGAGTTGCATGGTTGGATGACATATTCGGATGACAAGTTCGAATGACATGTCCCGATTACATTTTGGATGAAATGGTGGGATTACATGTTCGAATGACGTGTTCAGATGATATGTTCCGAAGACATGGTCGGATGACAATCCTTAATTCCGAAACACGGGCGTAAGTTTCTTATATCCCTTTGTTCACCTAGCTCTGATGGACACCAGACTTAAGCGACTGGTCGTATTGTTGCCAACTGTATTTATTTCTATGCCGAGGTCACTGAAACAGGTTAACTCTACTCCATCTGCCCACTGGTCCAGATGGGTAGTTTATTTTTAATAACCAACTTTCAATTTACATTATATAACACTCTGGTGTAATATTAATCTTTGCTAGTGCTAATTACTACATTGTTCTGTTAAGTTTTTTAAATGACAGTTGCATGTATTGCTTGGGAAATGAATATTCCGTAAATATTAAGGATATATCGTATCTGGTGTGTGTGTGAGAGAGAGAAAGTTAAATGCGTGTGTTGCTACGTCCGTGTATGAGTTGTGTATGTGTCATGTGTCTGTACGTCCGTGTATGTGTTTTGTATGTGTTATGTAGGTCAACAAGGTGGTGAATTCATGCAATGCAAATTTTGTGCATATGCTGAGTTTATCAAGTGTATGTAATGAGATTATGTTAAATACCGTTCTTTTTAAGTTATTTATTATGATAATATGTTGATTTATACTGGTATTTTGAAAGAGAAAATATTTTTTTTGCTAGGTAATTGAAGTTCAGTTTCGGCAACCGCATTTTGCAGTGTGTAAATATTTTTCTTTAAAACTTGTAAGGCTGTTCAGTTCAATTCAACATCGTCACGATACAATACGTCCTTTATACATGACAAAAGTGTTACTATCGCTATTTACTATTGATTTTCAAAGAACATTTTTCTATTATTGTTACCTTTGACAAAAAACTAGTTTAAAAAATACTAAGTCTTGTTTTAATTTTAACGTTTTATTTGGTTAATTAGAATAACAGCGTAAAAATATAAACAAAAACAAGCAGGACACCATTAGTGTTTGGGTAATCAAAGACTCTTCCATGCATCTCTTCGGGGGGGGGGGGGGAAACACCCCTCACCCCCCCCCCCCCGCCCCCGAAGAAAGTCTACCCCCCTCCTCAGAACGAAATAAAATTCATGTAGAAAATATATACTTGTAAGTGTCCGCCCCCCCCCCAAGGAAGTCTACCGCCCCTCGGAAAATTTCAAGTGCCCCCCCCCCCCCTGGAGAAAAAAGTCTGGAAGAAATACTGTAGGTAATTTAATTACATTAATTTAACTAAATTAGAAAAAAACATCACAAATGAACATTTCTTTATAAAGATAGGTCGATATCATATGTACGGGCACAGCTTGCGAATGTTTATTTTGTTACGGACTAGACCGTAGAATCGCTGAACTTGATTGTATCGATAGATTAATAATATACATTGCATATTTTTATATATCGACACAGTTTGTACCAAACAACAATACACAGTCGGCTAAAAACAATTGTGAGATGCGTCAGACTATGAATACAACTTACAAAAAGTAACAATAGCGAATTACCAAAAGCAAAGCCCAAAGTAGTAATTGTATAGAAAATTATATATATATATATATATATATATATATATATATATATATATATATATATATATATATATATATATATATATATATATATATATATATAAACCCAAAATAAACGGGAATGTTGATTGCAAAAGGCTAACATCTTGCCTAAAGTAAAATGATAAAGTGGCATGAGAATTATAGTTGTAAAATTACAGATTTCCACCCTGGTTTTCTTTATTCGTCTTTCTACTGCATTATTCCTAATTTTGGTGGTTTGTATTTGAACTAGTTTAATAATGATCTCAGGTGTTGAATGATCCTAGTGTGTAACACCTACAAATATCATTAGTTTATAAGTCACCACACTAACCAATGTTTGCATTTTACACATTTATTACGACGCGTTTCCTCAAATTATTTCTCACGAAATTCAACAAAGAGACGAACACCCCTGACTTCTTCTGATCCTCGTTTAGCAGAAAAAACTTTTCCTCGATTCGTATCCTCACCTCCTTTTCGACCTTGACCCGGTAATATTTTTTACCACTGGTGTCTATTTTTAGATAAAGCTTAGCCGGCTTGGGTGGGGGGACGGGCTTAGCTTTTGGCTTCACATCCGGAGTTTCATCATCACCTGCGTTTGTTTCGTTTGTTTTTTCAATTTTGAGTTTGTCGACCACCATTACGTTCAAGCCCCCTTCATCAAAGCTTTGTTCAGCTTCTTCTGATTTATCATCGTTTTGTTTAGAGAAAAAGTTACGTTTTTTCTCCTGATAGTTAGCACGCACTAGTTTAATCTGTTCCTCAATCGATTCCTTGACACACGTGACCAGTTGTACGGCTGCTTGTAGGGCACCTGTGTTCTGATCTGCATCAACGACACTCGCGCATAAATTGGCCGCGTTATCTCGCAAACTCTCAAGTTTTAAAACCAAATCTCGCTCGTCGCACGTCTCCAAATTGAGCCTCAGAAAACTGTTTTTCAGGGTGCATATATTTAGAAACAGGTCATCATTTAGACACGGTCTTGGCATTTGCTTAATAAAATGTTCTCTCTGCTGTTGAGTTGACTCGAAGTCTTCGTTCGTGTACCTTAATCCCTCTGTAGGTAGCTCGTCAATCATCTCAACTAAGTCTTGTAGTTGTGAGTCTATTAAACCTTCATCCTCTGTGATGTTATTAAACAACACAATCCTATTGTTCATCTCACGGAGTAAAGCAGTAAAGTTAGGATCCGTCTGTTCAGACACCCAGTCTGCAAATTTCAGATTTCTCTTCCTGACTCCAGGATCTGTAACAAAGTTGTCTCCGCCTGTCATGACGATAATCCCATGTTTGGCAATAAAATCTGGACCAAACGTTGTCTTAAACAGCTCAGCCGCGTACACTTCCTCCTTAGTGAATCTGTTCCCGAACCTTACAATAAACAACATAGCGTGATAGCCTATAACGTTGATTGCCATAGCCTGGGAGATGGATTCGATAAACTTGAGGGCGTCTTCCCTCTTGTTGAGGCGGGTGTCTCCAATCCCAGGGCAGTCAACGACCTTGAGAATTCGATCTCTGAAAAAGGTCATTTCGACCTGGACACCCTCTGTAACAGACGATGTATAGAAACAGCTGTTAAATGATTCAGTTCGTATGATAGAGTTCCCTGTGGCGCTCTTGCCTTGTCCTGTTTTACCCACCAGTAGAATATCAGTAGTGGCGGCGAAAAATGTGGCAGCCATGTTTTTCTTCTAGAAAATTTAAAGCTAGAATCAAAATAATACGTTAGATTTATTAAAGCAGGGACCCAATATATATTGAGATATATGAATATTGTGAATATATAATCAAAGGAATATGCTACGTGCAGAAACTCACATTTTAAAATGCTAATGGTATATTGTGAATGCTAAAACGTTTTACCAATATTTACATCTTAAAACTTTAGAAATATTTATAGATAATAAAACATTTTGCTCCTCCTCAGTAAAATACTGCTTAATTAAGTAAACAGAAAAGAAAAACAAATATTTAACTACGATTTTTATGATTAAAAACTAATACGCTTGAAGTACAACAACGCTTCAACTTACAACGAAAGCACGATATACAGATCCACGAGGTTAACTTAGTCCATAGTACTATCCATGGGACACAAGAAGTAAGGTAAATGTTTCAGAGCAAACCCTTCACTTTGTTACATTGAGATGTATGTATGTGAATGTGTGTGCGAGTGTGTGTGCGTGTGTGTGTGCGTGAGTGCTAAAACGAGCACGAGTTGTACAACTCAGCCGTCGGTATGTGAGTTATGTGAGCACAGCTGTTGTCCCCATAACCCACCTGCCTGTGTTCAACACACCAATCAATCTCTGGCTCTATCCAGATCTGGACACAATACAATAGCTATTTTTGTTTCTTCCACACATCTATGGCCTAAATATACATTTGACAATTTTCCATTTAAAATATACGACCCTAAATGAAGATAGTGACGATTACCCGTATGTTATATTCTACAACTAGCCTTATAAATACCACGCAACCCTCATACAAACAGTTTCCTGTAGTGATAGCTACATACAAATGTCGACATATTTAATCGAATGTATTGTTCAATAGAATGTGTAACCTCGGCCTGTGCGTATATTAAGTAACAGTTGGTAGAATGGCTGTAGACTCGTAATACAGTTTTAAAACGGATTAGACTAGACTTGTATGAAGTAACAGTTTTAAAACGGATGTAGACTAGACTTGTATTAAGTAACAGTTTTAAAACGGCTGTAGACTAGACTAATAGACTTGCACAGTTTTAAAACGGCTGTATGAAGTAACAGTTTTAGACGGCTGTAGACTAGACTTGTATTAAGTAAAGGTATTAAAACGGCTGTAAACTAGACTTGTATTAAGTAACAGTTTTAAAACAGCTGTAGACTAGACTTTAATTAAGTAACAGTTTTAAAACGGCTGTAGACTAGACTTTAATTAAGTAACAGTTTTAAAACGGCTGAAGATTTGTATTAAGTAACAGTTTTATAACGCCTGTAGACTTGTTATAGCAGTTTGTAGAGCAACCGTAGTCTCCACCCAATGCTTCCGTATCTATTACGTTGTCGAGTGATATTATGATAAAATAATTACATCTATAAGCAAACTATTATTAAATCCTATGTAATTTAACATTCACAAAATTATACAATTTCAAACACTTCAATCTCGACTTGATTAACTTAAAGTCTGTCCCCAGCTCAGTTAAAAATGAGAAGTGTTGAGCAATTCTAGCTTATAGAAAAAAAAAATCCAGCTACAGAGATTTCAAATACAGCATTAACTTGGTCGTCACAGTTCTACTCTGGTAAAGCCCATGACGCATGTTAGTAGAACTCTCTTCTTGCCTATGTAGCTCCTCAAGCTCACAACAAAGACTAGATTAAGAAGACAGTTCAATATGAAGCAACGCTTGCAGGTTCTTATCGGCACAAAGACATTAAAAAAACAGAGTTCATTGGAGAGTTATAGCTCCTCAGGGGCTTTACATGAATTATTCAAACTTAATCCTTAGGCTGTTTCGTCGTCTCCTCCAAAGCAATTAAGTATTAGGTGCCAACAGGTTATGAACTGTTGACTCCGATTTCAGCATGTTTTTCTTTTTGGATTTGCTTCTATAGCCTTTGTCCACTAAAGAATAAACTACAAGGCAGCAGTCGTTTAATTGTGGAGTTTCTCTCCAAGTTGGTTAGCTGTCCACAGCTATCGAGACTCATCTGCCCGGAGGTTGAACTCGGGACCTTTTAGTTGTTTGATTTGGATTACCTAAGATCAAAATTTTCTTTACAGTAAGTTATTGTACTACGAGTAATACTTTGTCAACTGGAAACTGTCGTCACGGACGGCTGCTCTCACGTGGACGGAGGGAGTGGGGTGGGGAGGGGGGAGGATAATCGTCTTTCACAATCTACTGATAGTGTTTTAAAGCAAAATATTTTTAGTCTCAGCATTGGCAGTGTCGAATTCAAAAAGTATGAATGTCACTGAAAGGTAAAAAATAAAACAACTAAATAGCGCGGCGTCGCGGGTCAGCTTGTCTTTCCTGATCATTAGCAGTAATTTTTTTTCAAATTTCAATTTAAATTACATTATAAACGATTGTATAGTTCTTAATTACATTGCTCATAATTGATAACTACTGAAATTTTGAATTAACTTTATACTTTAAATTATCGCTAGTGTAGGGTGTAGGATCTACCACACATGTTCGAATGGACATTTTGGCCAGTTGAGACCAATGTTCGAATGGACATTTTGGCCAGTTGAGACCAATGTTCGAATGGACATTTCGAATAGACATTTTGGCCAGTTGAGACCTATGTCCCAATGGACATTTTGGTCAGTTGAGACCAATGTTCGAATGGACATTTTGACCAGTTGAGACCAATGTTCGAATGGACATTTTGGCCAGTTGAGACTATGCTCGAATGGACATTTTTGCCAGTTGAGACCAATGCTCGAAAGGACGTTTTGGCCAGTTGAGACTATGCTCGAATGGACATTTTTGCCAGTTGAGACCAATGCTCGAAAGGACGTTTTGGCCAGTTGAGACCAATCTTCGAATGGACATTTTGGTCAGTTGAGACTAATGTTCGAATGGACGTTTTGGTCAGTTGTGACCAATGTTCGAATGGACGTTTTGGCCAGTTGAGACCAATGTTCGAATGGACATTTTGGCCAGTTGAGACCAATGTTCGAATGGACGTTTTGGCTAGTTGAGACCAATGCTCGGATGGACATTTTGGCCAGTTAAGACCAATGTTCGAATGAAAGTTTGACAAAAGCAGGTAAAATAAGCGAATGGACATTAGGCCGAGTTTCTCCTTAGGTTCGCATTTGGATGCCATAAAACTTCCAACGATATTTATTAACAAGACTACAATGGTTCATGAATGATATCCAGTTACTTCGCTTTGTTTAGTACTAAAAATACAAACAAATATAAACAAATAACACAACTATTTTATGTGTAAATAAACCGGTAGTGATCTCCCCTAAACTTTCTCGAATATTCTTATATAAAACAACAAGGGGATGGTAACTGGGGATATAGTTATGATTTTTAATCCATTTTAAATACTAAAACTTTTAAAAATAGAATAGAATCTCAGTAAAAAACAATTGCGCACCAAGCGAACGCCTAATAAAGGTGTGTATAATAGTGCGCAATATTATTAGTACTTTTAAAATTTACATTAGTTTTTTGAGAAATCGGAAGTAGCGTAAATTACTACTTCCTGTCAACGGAAATTACTCAAAATTTAACAGAAGGTAGAGAATTAGATCTTTTACTTACATGTGAAATTTCATTTATCTATCTGAAATAGTACTCAAGTTATAGGCTTTTAAAAAATTCAAAGTAGGAAAATTACCACTTCCGGTTATCGGAAATCGCTCAAAAGTTGATACGGATCTACGATTTTGATAAAATACTTATATATGAAATTTCATCAACCTAGCTGTAACGGTACTCAAGTTATCGTGTTTACACACGGACAGACAGACAGACAGACAGACACACACACACACAGACATACGGACAAGATTGCAAAATTATGTTTTTCCGTATCAGTGAGGTGTAAAACGTCGAGATTTGTAAAAATCTCGATTTTTTTTTTTTGCACGATTACAATACTTTCTCTATACTACGTATATACGAGAAAGTAAAAACAATCGGAACACTGTCCAAAACCTTATTTCGACTATTTTGCTTAGTGACAATTTGTAATTTGTAAACCAGCTAGTACTGGCTTTTGTAGCAGCGTGGTTTTCCCGAACACATCTATTTTTAGTAGTTAAAATCAGCTTGCAGTTAGCATACGTATTGGTAAGATTTAGAAACGTGAACGGTACGTAGCGAGTCTGACCTTGCCGGATGAATGACGTGACCTGGTGTCTGAACGCATCAGTGACTTTTTCTTTCTATCCAGTATCACAGCACAGACCCTTCAGAAAGTTACACTTTTTACACTAACTAGTCATCCTGTTAACCCACTTATAAACCAAGGTCAACAAAAAGCATCCAAACATTTATACTGATACACTTATAAACCAAGGCCAAAAAAAGTATCCTAACAACGTTGGGAAAATCCAACACGTAAGAATGATGTAAACAGATACTTCATAAAATTTCTGAAAATAAACCGGTAGTGATCTCCCCTAAACTTTCTCGAATATTTTTATATAAAATAACAGGGGATGGGAACTCGGGCTATAGACATGATTTTTAATCCATTTTAAATACTTAAAGTTTTAAAAATAGAATAAAATCTCGTAGACAAATTAATTGCACACTAAGTGAACGCGAAATAAAAAAGCGCATAATAGTGCGCAATATTATTAGTACTTTTAAAATTTACATTAGTTTTTTGAGAAATCGGAAGTAGCGTAAATTACTACTTCCTGTCAACGGAAATTACTCAAAATTTAACAGAAGGTAGAGAATTAGATCTTTTACTTACATGTGAAATTTCATTTATCTATCTGAAATAGTACTCAAGTTATAGGCTTTTAAAAAATTCAAAGTAGGAAAAGTACCACTTCCGGTTATCGGAAATCGCTCAAAAGTTGATACGGATCTACGATTTTGATAAAATACTTATATATGAAATTTCATCAACCTAGCTGTAACGGTACTCAAGTTATCGTGTTTACACACGGACAGACACACACACGGACAGACACACACACACACAGACATACGGACAAGATTGCAAAATTATGTTTTTCCGTATCAGTGAGGTGTAAAACGTCGAGATTTGTAAAAATCTCGATTTTTTTTTTTTGCACGATTACAATACTTTCTCTATACTACGTATATACGAGAAAGTAAAAAGTGTCATTAGCTACAGCGTACTGACAACACTAAAGTTCAAGTGTTTATGTGTGCGCGTGATTTAGAGAGGGGGGGGGGGGGGGGAAGCATGTGACTGCTAATTTCTGTGGTAGTGGTTTTGATTAAATGTCGCGAATGTGAATTAATTAGTACAATTTTCGTTTGATGAACCGGAAACATTTTTACTTTTAATTGAGAGTGTGTTGAGGAGGCTAAAGTGTGTGTGTGTGTGTGAGTGAGTGACTGTGTGTTTATGGGAGCGTGTGTGAGTGGAGAATGATTTACCCCTTCTGTCAATTAACTCTCCTCCAGACATTTCATACCCATCGACATTAGCCCCGAGTCAATTACATGCAATTACACCACTGTCCAGTGTGACACTATATAAAGGTGGGGTTAAGGCTACGTCTTGGGGCTTAGCTTAAGGCAGAGACTTAGGATATGGCTATGGCTTTGGCCAGGGATAGGGTTGGGCCTAGGGCCAGGACAAGGATTATGGCGTAGACATGGGCAGTGGCGTAGCGAGGTCGGGTGTCACCCGGTGCGGCACTTAATGGTGTCACCCCCCCAGAGGCATAGAGACCCTTCCCAGGGACAAACTTTCAAATTTTCGACTTGCACCCCCCCTCCCCTCAAACTTTCGATTTGCACCCCCCCCCCCCTCAAACTTTCGATTTGCACCCCCCCCCCCTCGAGTTTTTCTCTACACTTTTTGCTATTTTTTGCCTTGGTGTCACCCCCCAAAATGGTGTCACCCGGTGCGTTCCGCACTCCCCGCCCCCCCCCCCCTCGCTACGCCCCTAGACATGGGGTTGACCTTTGGCTCAGGCTTAGGTTTAAAGTTTTCGTTAAAGATTAAGGATAGTCTTAGTGTTCGGTATAGAATTGGGGTCCTATGGCAGATGAGGCTCGTTAGCTGGTGACAGCCACTCTACTAGGAGAGACAACTCCAAAATCAAACAACTGCTGCCTTGTAGTTTGTTCTTGGTTGGACAAAGGCTATGGAAGCAAATCCAAAAAGAAAAGCAGGCTGAAATCGGAGTCAATGGCCTAAATGGCGCATAACCAGTTGACACGTATCCTTAACTGTGATGGAGGCGTGGTCGAGTCGACAAAAGCTCATGGTTGATAAATTCGAAAAAGTCTCGAGTTCAAACCCTCTGGCAGATAAAGCTCGATCCCCTCCAACATTAAAATTAAGAACGAAGAAGAAGAAGAAGAATTGGGGTTGGGTTCCGTGAAAGGGTTATCGCATTAACCCCTTTCTTAAATACCTTTTGTCAATCTTACTTCAACAAAACAATGTACCCCTTGTCAATCAATATGTGTGAACTCCCCTAATTGGTATTTACCCCTTTGTTTATAAAAAAAAAACATTACTTCTCTTACTTCCATTATCACAAACCCGTCATTTTGTAACTTGGCTCACAATCAGCAACTAAATTATTATTTCGCACTTATTTTCTACTTTTCAGTGGTTCATACTTTGTGAATTCGACACTACCAATGCTGCGACTAAAAATATTTTTCTTTAAATTACCATCAGTAGCTTGTGAAGGACGATTATCCTCCCGCCCTCCTCCCCAACCCCCCCCCCCCCCTCTCCCACACACTGTGACGACAGTTTACAGACGACAATCTATTGCCCCTAGTACAATAGTTTACTGTACAGAATGCCAGCCATAGCAAATACTAGAGTGTTGTGACTGATTTATATGTTAACATTATGTCCAGATGTCGACCCTATCAATATTTACAGTACCAGCTTTTCAAATGTGTACCTACAAAACAACTGAAACACTAATAATACGTAATTTTGGGTTGAATTTCATTTATTTGAATTCTAAACTTTAGTCTCAGTTCGTGTATGCATACATACAAAGTGTTGATATGTTTGCAATCTGTATTTTAAAAAAAATTAAATCGGGAAAAAAGCAAATTGTTTTAAAAAGGGGTTTTATTTTATGCTTGAATTATCAACACCCGATTACTTTTGAACTATATAAAGTCGTCAGTCAAACACGTAAGTAACAACAAATTCCCCATGGAAACGATGCAGCTAAATTTAGATCAAGGTTCCCGCTGGTGACAGTATTTATTCGGCACAAAAGTAGCGCTGACAGAACACATACTCTACCAAGTGTGTCGACACATACACCAGCGTTATAGAGTTACTTCCCTGCTGCTTAGCTCTCTCTTGGTAAGTTTCTCTCTTGCTATTTGCCTAGGGCATACTTCACAATCTTTCAGTTGCTTAAAAATGACATTATTATCGGAAATATTTTTTGTTTTACGGTTGAACTTGTAATTTATGTCGTCATGAATATAAATTACAAAGTTATAAATCTCTCAATTTTTCTTAATTGGGCTAGTTTTAAAATGTGTATTAAAGAAAACACAATTTAAAGTATTATGTCTTATTAAAAAAACATTTCTTACACTCACATTTTGCAGTATTTAATTATAAATCTAGATTTATTTAGCGCAGATTTATTAAATTATGTTTTACTAGTAGATAGTTTTTAGCATGAAGACAACTCAGTGGCGTCGCTAGGTCGGGTATCACCCGATGCGGCATTTCGTGGTGTCACCCCCAAGAAACAAAGTTTATATATATCCATGAGTATATGTATATATATATATATATATATATATATATATATATATATATATATATATATATATATATATATATATATATATATATATGCGTGTGTGTCTGTGTGTGTGTGTGTGTGTAGCATAGTTTTCTCTATAGTTAGCACGTTTACGTCATGGTGTCATCCCACCTCCTTGTAATAATTGTTGATTTGTACTTAAAAGACTATTTAATTTTAATTAGGCCTAATCATTAACGGAACTGGCAAAAAGACATTTTTCTTCTATATATTTGGCAATATTATACCTTGGTGTTACCCCTAAATTGTGTCACTTAGTGCGGTCCGCACCCCCGGCCCGCCCCTCGCTACGCATCTGCGACAACTTAACTAGATGACTGCATCAAAAAATAAACCGGGAGTGATCTCCCCTAAACTTTCTCGAATATTCCAATATAACACTACGGGGAATGGCAACTCGGATTTTTAATCCACTTGAAATACTTAAACTTTTTAAAATAGAATAAAACCTCGTAGAAAAAAGAATTGCACACATAATGAACGCCAAATAAAGATGTGCATAATAGTGCGCATCATTATAAGTACTTTATAAATTTACGTGCGTTTTTTGAGAAATCGGAAATAGCATAAATTAGTACTTCCTGTCAACGGAAATTACTCAAAATTTGACAGAAGGTAGAGAATTAGATCTTTTACTTACTTGTCAAATTTCATTTATCTATCTCAAATAGTACTCAAGTTATAGGCTTTTTAAAAATTCAAAGTAGAAAAAGTACCACTTCCGGTTATCGGAAATCGCTCAAAAGTTGATACGGATCTACGATTTTGATAAAATTTATATATGAAGTTTCATCAACCTAGCTGTAACGGTACTCAAGTAATCGTGTTTACACACAGACACACAGATACACACACACACAGACATACGGACAAGATTGCAAAATTATGTTTTTCCGTATCAGTGAGGTGTAAAACGTCGAGATTTGTAAAAATCTAGATATTTTTTTTTGCACGATTACAATACTTTCTCTATACTTCGTATATACGAGAAAGTAAAAAATGAACAGCAAGATTTTTTTGTGTCTGCTGTGAGATATTGTCTTATAAATAAAAATACCATCTCTAGTGGATTTGACTTGTCATACCGAGGCTTTATGCCACCCACCCACCCCTCTCCTTCTGTCAGTGAAACAAAAGTCTTCCACGCTAAAATCATTCGGTTAATGAGTTGATTTAATAGATTTTCTGCTGAACACATGATAATATGGCACTGACTTGGCTCATAAAGAGAGTGTAGCACTATTTTATTTCAATAACAATGTTAGCTAATTAGATTGAGGGCATGGGATATAAATATAGTTATACAGTCGTCAATAAATGACGTCATGAGTTTTAGCTGTTTGGACCTAAATGCGGTAAAACAATACATTCTATGGCTGATTGTTTACTTCCGGTCTTTCTAATGTTTTGTTCGTGTTTATAATTTTACATGGGCTAATTTCAATCGCAAATTAGATCTACATTTTTTAAGGTTGCCATAAAGATTAAACAGTTAAGTAAGCCTAAAGCCTAAATCTTATTTTTGTTGCATTCAACTACCATGAATGTGATTTGCCTGTTCTACATAAATCTACTAGCTTTACTAAAGAACAAGCCTACGCTGTTAATAGATGAATCAGATACTAAAGACCTAAACAGATAAGTGGTAGGTTTCAGGAGTTTCACATCTTGTACTAATGACTAATAAACAGAGGCGTAGCGAGGGGGGGGGGGGGTTGCGGACCGCACCGGGTGACATCATTTAGGGGGGCGACACCAAGGCAAAAAATAGTAAAATATATAGAGAAAAATTTGAGACGGTGGGGGTGTGTGCAAATCGAAAGTTTAAGGGGCGGGGGTGCAAATCGAAAGTTTGAGGGGGGGGGGGTGGTGCAAATTAGAAAGATTGAGGGGGGGGGGTGAAAATCGAAAGATCGAGGGGTGCAAATCGAAAATTGAAAGTTTGTTTCCGGGAAGAGTCGCTACGCCTCTGAGGGTGTGACACCATTAAGTGCCGCACCGAGTGACACCCGACCTCGCTACGCCACTGCTAATAAAGTTAAAGATGTGTTATTTGTTTATGATGTAGAAACAGAAATGTAAACTAAAGCTATTCATATACTTGCTTGGTAGGTGTAATACATAATATGTTTCATTTCAAGTTTAAAAATAGATTGTAATAGTAAATAGTCGATAAATAATAAAAATGTATCGTAACTGTGTTTACTGCTAAAAGCGACCCAATGTGTCAAGCATTTCAACACACGCCTCGAGATGTGCATGAAATAGGTTGTAATGTAAATATCACATTCATGTGTGCTATGCTAATAACTAATTACTTAACTGCACGTTAATTGGCTGCAGCATTTACCAGTCAACAACATTCAGCTCAACTCTTTTATTCCACGGACATCTTCGCACCACTCCATCATCTCACCACTCCACTTACTCCCACTTCACCATCTCACCACTCCACCATCTCACCACTCCACCATCTCACCACTCCACCATCTCACCACTAGACCATCTCACCACTCGACCATCTCACCACTCCACTTACCCACACTTCACTATCTCATCACTCCACCATCTCACTACTCCACCATCTCACCTCTCCACCATCTCACCACACTACCATCTCACCACTCGACCATCTCACCACTCGACCATCTCACCACTCGACCATCTCACCACTCCACCATCTCACCACTCGACCATCTCACCACTCCACCATCTCACCACTCCACCATCTCACCACTCCACCATCTCACCACTCCACCATCTCACTACTCCACTATCTCACCACTCCACCATCTCACCACTCCACCATCTCACCACTCCACCATCTCACCACTCCACCATCTCACCACTTCACCATCTCACCACTCCACCATCTCACCACTCCACCATCTCACCAATCCACTTACCCACACTTCACCATCTCACCACTCCACATCTCACCACTCCACCATCTCACCACCCCACCATCTCACCACTCCACCATCTCACCACTCCACCATCTCACTACTCCACTATCTCACCACTCCACCATCTCACCACTCCACTATCTCACCACTCCACCATCTCACCACTCCACCATCTCACTACTCCACTATCTCACCACTCCACCATCTCACCACTCCACCATCTCACCACTCCACCATCTCACCACTCCACCATCTCACCACTCCACCATCTCACCACTCCACCATCTCACCAATCTACTTACACACACTTCACCATCTCACCACTCCACCATCTCACTACTCCACCATCTCACCACTCCACCATCTCACCAATCCACTTACACACACTTCACCATCTCACCACTGGACCATCTCACCACTCCACCATCTCACCACTCCACCATCTCACCAATCCACTTAACCACTCTTCACCATCTCACCACTCGACCATCTCACCACTCGACCATCTCACCACTCCACCATCTTACCAATCCACTTACCCACACTTCACCATCTCACCACTCCACATCTCACCACTCCACCATCTCACCACTCCACCATCTCACCACTCCACCATCTCACCACTCCACCATCTCACTACTCCACTATCTCACCACTCCACCATCTCACCACTCCACTATCTCACCACTCCACCATCTCACCACTCCACCATCTCACTACTCCACTATCTCACCACTCCACCATCTCACCACTCCACCATCTCACCACTCCACCATCTCACCACTTCACCATCTCACCACTCCACCATCTCACCACTCCACCATCTCACCAATCCACTTACACACACTTCACCATCTCACCACTCCACCATCTCACTACTCCACCATCTCACCACTCCACCATCTCACCAATCCACTTACACACACTTCACCATCTCACCACTGGACCATCTCACCACTCCACCATCTCACCACTCCACCATCTCACCAATCCACTTAACCACACTTCACCATCTCACCACTCCACCATCTCACCACTCCACCATCTCACCACTCCACCATCTCATCAATCCACCATCTCACCAATCCACTTACCCACACTTCACCATCTCACCACTCCACCATCTCACCACTCCACCATCTCACCAATCAACTTACACACACTACACCATCTCACCACTGGACCATCTCACCACTCCACCATCTCACCACTCGACCATCTCACCACTCCACCATCTCACCACTCCACTTACTCACACTTCACCATTTCACCATCTCACCACTTCACCATCTCATCAGTTGAATTGTTGCTATTTATTTTAGATGTTACTATATACATGCAATAGTTTTATTTGCTGTAGATGTTAATTTATATATTTGCAACTCGAAAGAAGAAAAAATAAAGTTTCCTTTTTCGAAACTGACCGTCCATGTGGCAAGTAGAGTTTACCTGTTTTTTTTTGTCCTGGCCATATGAAGAGAATGTTTGGGCAGCCTTTGCTTTTACTTACTAGAGTTGGGTGTCCATCACAGCTGGTTGGACTCAAGAGTCATATTGTGTATTTATTTTCCAATAAACAGTTCCTTTTATCTATTTACAGTACGTTAAGATGGCGACTTCGTCTGATAGGTCTATTGATATTTTACTTGTTGGCAAGACGGGCCACGGGAAAAGCGCCACAGGAAACACAATCCTCAGAAAAGAAGCTTTCAAGAGCGACCCAACTTCCACCTCGGTCACATCGGGTGCAGCGTTTGACGTAGCCATGTTCAAAGATCGGAAAATTGTCGTAGTTGATAGCCCAGGTATTGGCGACACACGGAGAAACAAGCGAGACGATATTCTAAAGTTCATTGACTCCGTGGCCAATGCTTTAGCAGCCAACCCAAAAGGATATCACGCCATTATCTTTGTTATGAAGTTTGGAACACGTTTCACGAAAGAAGAAGTCTACGCCGTTGAACTTTTTAAACAGATATTTGGAGCTGAGTTCATTACAAAACATTGTATCCTGCTATACACATACGGCGATAGTTTTGATACAGATCCATCGATTCAAGGGAGGAAAATATCATTTGATCAGTGGCTGAAAGAACAAAATGATATCAATCTAGTTCCGTTTCTCAACGAAATCAACTATCGAGCTATCCTTTTCAACAACAGATCAAAGGACGACAACCAGGTAACGAAATTGATCAAGATGATTGATCGATTGAACACAGGACGAGAGAGATACTCTCACGAGATGTTTCAACAAACGCAAGAGTTTAGAGAGAGTTTGGTACGAGAGTTAGAGCGACCGTTTATCGATGACGAACTAATGCAAGAAATCTTCGAAGTCAAAGCACGTTATGATGGCTTTGAGATCGATGAAGAAAACATTGGATGTTCTTTAACAAAACTCACTTTCATCAGAGAGAGGGCAAAACAACTGCTTGAAAAACTGCATGACAGAAATGGGAATACGACAGCTTTATCTAACGTCATCAGCATTATCAACAGAATGACGGTAGATTTAGAGAACCAAGCGCAGGAACTGGAGACAGTGTGCAAAGAATCAGGAGCAGAAATGGGTATAGGACCTGTCGATACAACTCCAGCAGTAACTCCAGAACCATCCAGCAATTTTGTGGCCGCCAGAAAGATCGTCCAGGAAACTTTGACTCCCGTACAGCGGGAGAAGATCAGAGTTATCCGACACAGCAGTTTGTTGAGAAAAGAAGAAACACACAGACAATTTCTCATAGTCAAAGAGCAGATAAACTCTGCTGGCTTCTTTAGCTCTCTCTTCGAATTTTTTAAAAGAATTATCAGAAAAATTCTTAACACCTTTTGAAATGTACTTTAAGTAAGGAAATTCTAAAACTAAGCTTAATATTCACGATCTTATAGCTTGCTTCATTTGCGATTTCAAATATATTAACTATATTCATCCTCAATAACATTTTACGTGCAACTAAAAAGATTTCAATTTGTTGTCATTAATATTACAATGTTCTTTTAGCAATATTTTTTAACTTGTAGAGACGTTTCAAATATGTGTATGCTGTTAATTTATTTTAAAAAATTATAATTTTACGTTTTGATTACCGTAATAAAAATATATCATTATATATATTATATATATTAAGCTTAGCTTATTACATCTTGGGCCTATTAAATATTTAACAATTATGTAATTGTAACAAAAATACTTATTTGCAAAATCGCTTTCAAATGCAATTTTACATTGATCTTTGAATTAAAATTTATTTTGGTATAACGTTATGATTTGTCTCTCATTACAGCATTAAACGAATTTATGGGTTGTTTTTTTTTAATGTTCAGTACCATTTCCGTAAGGTGGGAAAATTCAACAAATAAGTATTATATTAGACATTCATGATTTTGACTAATTTTCATCGATAACGGAAATAGTCCTTTAACTCCGTGAGAACACGATAAATTGAGCACTATATCATTTCGGTAGATTCAACTTCATCTACAAGATTTTATACTTACTTTTACATCCATTATTCAGAAATGGACATTGTTTATTTCATGGTTAGGTGGAGGAGAAGGGAGATTGTACATGGGGTTTACGTCAAGGAGTTCATGACTTTATTTTTCTAAATACATTTACCCGTAATTGGAATACCGTTTCAGCTTGGCAAACGAAATTTTACGTTTAGAAAGTTATTTACTTTACGTAGATCATTTTTAACTTCTGTCCATTTCCCTTCAACGCAGGGGTATTTTAATTTTTGATTTTTCAGATTTTTTATTCGTTCTAAATTTGTTAAGCATCATGATGTAGGTTCTGGACATCGATTTCAGCCTACTATTCTCTCTAGATTTACTTCCTTAGCCTTTGTCCAACCAACAAAAAACTTCAAGGCAGCAGTTATATGATTTTAGTGTTTTCTCTTTCCTAGGTTGCTGCCCCTTAGCTATCGAGCCTCACCTGGTGGGGGGGGGGGGGATTGAACTTGACATTTTAGTTTAGCAGCAATGAGCTTTACCGACCCCAATAAACCTTTAGTATTAAATATTTTTATATCATACTCTTACTAAGCTTATTCTAACAAGAAATGTCGACTCTGTGACAAACATGGACATTTCTAAAGCCCGATAGCACTGGAAGTGGCATCCCAACACTGAGTGCTATATAAAAATATACAAAATGTTTAGGGGAGTTCATCCCTCTTATGCTTATAAATTAGATAAGTTCTGTTTGCTTTTAGATTTGTTTACATAGGGTTTTAGTGAATGTTACGTCTATTTTGTTTTCAACTACATCTTTCAACATTAATAATAATTATTATTTTTAAGAATGTGTTGGTAACTAAATTGCTATTATTTTTTGTATTGCCTTTTATTTAACTGTCAGATACTTGAGTATAAATTTTATTATATTGTCTCATATGTCAGCTAATGTTTAACTTACACATTGTAATTGTTTTTCTACATAGTAACATAATTTTTTTACACTGAAAAGTAAAGTGTAGATAACATATTATAGTATTTTGTAATGCGTTGTATATTATATTTAACTTTCAGTTACTTTACTATACGTTTTGACATTTTATTTCATATATTATATGTTGCGAAACTTGCAAATAAAACAAAGTACTTACGTTTAAAAAAATTAATAATGCATTTAATTGTGTTTGATTTTGTTTATTCTGTAATGGCTCAAGCAATTGAAAGCAGTTCGCAACACTACGCATGCACCTATAAAAACAAAGTAAAGTAAAATTCACTTTTAAACCTACTGTCTATGGTACTGATGAATTAGAGTATCTGTTTTATAGGTCAGGAGTGTGCCCAGTACCTATACTTTATCTGAAGGTGAACTGTGTAGTCCAGGAGACTAGAGACTTTCGGGTTAGCATTTGAACGCTCTTACATACAACCATGCCGTCCCACAAAGTGGGATACACGAGGTTTATAATTAACGTGAAACGCTTTTATTACAAATCATGTTAACTTACACACCCAATATGTGAATTTTTTGGTGTGTTATTTTAACATGAAATTGAAAAACAACATTTTGCTTTTAACATCAAATGTAAATATAACTCTTCTATACACATTTGAAACAAGCAATACCAACTTTTTGCTGCACTATTTTTTTTAAATACCTTTTGTCAATCTTACTTCAACAAAACAATGCACCCCTTGTCAATCAACCCGAGTAAACTCCCCTTATTGGTATTTACCCCTTTGTTTATATATAAAAAAAAACATTACTTCGCTTACTTCCATTATCACAAACCCGTCATTTTGTAACTTGGCTCACAATCAGCAACTAAATTATTATTTCGCACTTATTTTCTACTTTTCAGTGATTCATACTTTGTGAATTCGACACTACCAATGCTGCGACTAAAAATATTTTTCTTTAAATTACCATCAGTAGCTTGTGAAGGACGATTATCCTCCCGCTCCCCTCCCACCCCCCCACCCCCCTCCCACACACTGTGACGACAGTTTACAGACGACAATCTATTGCCCCTAGTACAATAGTTTACTGTACAGAATGCCAGCCATAGCAAATACTAGAGTGTTGTGACTACTGATTTATATGCTAACATTATGTCCAGATGTCGACCCTATCAATATCTACAGTACCAGCTTTTCAAATGTGTACCCACAAAACAACTGAAACATTAATAATACCTAATTTTATTCATTTGAATTCTAATCATTAGTCTCAGTTCGTGTATGCATACATACAAAATGTTGATATGTTTGCAATCTGTATTAAATTTAAAAAAAACGGGAAAAAACGTTTTGTTTTAAAAAGGGGTTTTTATTTTATGCTTGAATTATCAACACCCGATTGCTTTTGAACTATATAAAGTCGTCAGTCAAACACGTAAGTAACAACAAATTCCCATTGGAAACGATGCAGCTAAATTTAGATCAAGGTTACCGCTGGTGACAGTATTTATTCGGCAAAAAAGTAGCGCTGACAGAACACATACTCTACCAAGTGTGTCGACACATACACCAGTGTTATAGAGTTACTTCCCTGCTGCTTAGCTCTCTCTTGGTAAGTTTCTCTCTTGCTATTTGCCTAGGGCAGGGGTTCCCAACCCTGTGCCCGCGGGCGCCATGGCGCCCGCTGAACGATTCGTATGTGCCCGCCTCTCACTATTCGACAGAGACAGATTTTTTTTCATAAACATTATTTTAAAATATGATTTATTTTTATTCATTTGTTACAGTTTTACATTTTTTTTACTGCCTAGGTTTATTAAATATGTTCGATACTTGTCCAAACTTGTCTAGCGGCGAGCAAGACTGCACTATTTACGTTTTGTAAATACATTTCTCTGTGTTTATGCAATTTGAAAAAAATGCCAAAGAATTTTATTATTTTGAAACATTTTTGTTTATTTTTTATTAATACATTATGACCATAAGAAAATAAGAAAAAAAAAGAAATAAATTATGGGAAAATGACAAGTTATGGAAGGAGTTTGTCGATTTAAAATAGGTGGTGCCCGCCACCCTACCGATATTTTAGAATGTGCTCTAGAGTAAAAAAAGGTTGGGAACCCCTGGCCTAGGGCATACTTCACAATCTTTCCGTAGCTTAAAAAATGACATTATTATCAGAAATATTATTTATTTTACGGTTGATTATGTAATTTATGTCGTCATGAATATAAATTACAAAGTTATAAATCTTTCAATTTTTCTTAATTGGGCTAGGTTTACAAAGTGTATTAAAGAAAACACAATTTAAAGTATTATGTCTTATTACGCTTTAAAAAAACAAATTTCTTACACTCAAATTTTGCAGCATTTAATTATAAATCTAGATTTATTTAGCGCAGATTTATTAAATAATGTTTTGCTAGTAGATAGTTTTTAGCATGAAGACAACTCAGTGGCGTCGCTAGGTCGGGTGTCACCCGTTGGCATAATGTGGTGTCACCCCCCAAGAAACAAAGTTTATATATATATATATATATATATATATATATATATATATATATATATATATATATATATATATATATATATATATGTGTGTGTGTGTGTGTGTGTGTATGTGCGTGTGTGTCTGTGTGTGTGTGTGTGTGTGTAGCAAAGTTTTCTCTATAGTTAGCACGTTTACGTCATGGTGTCATCCCACCTCCTTGTAAGAATTGTTGATTTGTACTTAAAAGACTATTTAATTTTAATTAGGCCTAATCATTAACGGAACTGGCAAAAAAGGCATTTTTCTTCAATACATTTTGCAATATTATACCTTGGTGTCACCCAGTGCCATCCGCACACCCCGCCCCGCCCCTCGCTACGCATCTGCGACAACTTAACCAGATGACCGCATAAAAAATGAAAAGCAAGATTTTTTGTGTCTGCTGTGAGATATTGTCTTATAAATAAAAATACTATCTCTAGTTGATTTGACTTGTCATACAGAGGTTTTATTTCACCCACCCACCCATCTGCTGTCAGTGAAGCAACAGTCTTCCACGCTTAAATCATTCGGTTAATAAGTTGATTTAATACATTTTCTGCTGAACACATAATAATATTGCAATGACTTGGCTCATAAAGAGAGTGTAGCCCTACTTTATTTCAATAACAATGTTAGCTAATTAGATTGAGGGCATGGGATATAAATATAGTTATACAGTCGTAAATAGTTATACAGTCGTAAATAAATGACGTCATGAGTTTTAGCTGATTTGACCTAAATGCGGTAAAACAATACATTCTATGGCTGATTGTTTACTTCCGGTATTTCTAATGTTTTGTTCATGTTTATAATTTTACATGAGCTAATTTCAATCACAAATTAGATCTACATTTTTTAAGGTTGCCATAAAGATTAAACAGTTAAGTAAGCCTAAAGCCTAAATCTTAATTTTGTTGCATTTAACTACCTTAATATGATTTGCCTGTTCTACATAAATCTACTAGTGAAATCAGCTATTGTTAACAGATGAGTCAGATACTAAAGACCTAAACAGATAAGTGGTAGGTTTCAGGAGTTTCACATCTTGTACTAATGACTAATACAATTTAAAGATGTGTTATTTTTTTATTATTTGGAACCAAGCATTTCAACAATCGCCTCTAGCTGTGCCTGAAATAGGTCGTATTGTAACAATCACATTAAAGTGTGCTACGCTAATAACTAATTACTTAACTGCACGTTAATTGGCTGCAGCATTTTCGTCAAAAACACTCAGCTCAACCTTTGTATTACAGAGACATCTTTGCACCACTCCATCCTCGATTCACTCCACCATCTCACTACTCCAACATCTCACCACTTCACCATCTCACCACTCGACCATCTCACCACTCCACCATCTTACCACTCCACCATCTCACCTCCTCACCATCTCACCACTCCACCATCTCACTACTCCACCATCTCACCACTCCACCTAATCACCACTCCACCATCTCACCTACTCACCGTCTCACCACTTCACCATCTCACCACTTCACCATCTCACCATCTCACACTCCAACATCTCACCTACTCACCATCTCACCATCTCACCACTTCACCATCTCACCACTTCACCATCTCACCACTCAAACATCTCACCTACTCACCATCTCACCACTTCACCATCTCACCACTTCACCATCTCACCATCTCACACTCCAACATCTCACCTACTCACCATCTCACCATCTCACCACTTCACCATCTCACCACTTCACCATCTCACCACTCAAACATCTCACCACTCCACCATCTCACAAACTCCACCATCTAAACACTCCACCATCTCATCACTCCACGATCTCACCTACTCACTATCTCATCACTCCACCTAATCACCACTACAAAATCTCACCACTCCACCATCTTACTACTCCACCATCTATACACTCCACCATCTCACCACTCCACCATCTCCCCATTTCACCATCTCTACACTACTCAATTTTACTATCTCGCCACTTCACGATCTTACAACTCGACCATCTCACCTACTCACCATCTCACCATTCCACCATCTCATCTACTCAATATCTCAGCACTCCAACATCCCACCACTCCACCATCTCAACACTTCGCCGACTCACCACATCACCTAATCACCACTACACCATCTCACCACTCCACAATCTCACCACTTCATTATCTCACCACTCCACCATCTCACCACTTCACCATCACACCACTGCACCATTTCATTACTCTACCATATCACCACTCCACTATCTCACAGCTTCATAATCTCACCACTCCACCATCTTACCACTCCACCATCTCACAACTTCATAATCTCACCACTTTACCATCTCACCACTCCACCATCTCACAAGTTCATAATCTCACTACTTCACCATCTCACCATCTCACCACTCCACCATCTCACCACTTCACCATCTCACCACTCCACCATCTCACCACTTCATTATCTCACCACTCCACCATCTCACCACTTCACCATCACACCACTGCACCATTTCATTACTCTACCATATCACCACTCCACTATCTCACAGCTTCATAATCTCACCTACTCCACCATCTTACCACTCCACCATCACACAACTTCATAATCTCACCACTTTACCATCTCACCAATCCACCATCTCACAAGTTCATAATCTCACTACTTCACCATCTCACCATCTCACCACTCTACCATCTCACCACTTCACCATCTCACCACTCCATCGTCTCACAAATACACCATCACACCACTCCACTATTTCATCACTCCACCATATCACCACTCCACCATCTCACAACTTCATAATCTCACCATTCCACCATCACACCACTCCACCATTTTGCCACTTCATTATCTCACAACTACACCATCGCACCACTACACCATCACACCACTCAACCATATCACGACTCCACCTACTGACAACACCACCATCTCACATACTCACCACAATCTCACCACTCCACCATATCACCACTTCACTATCTCACCACTCCACCTAATAACTACTTCACCATCTCACCACTCCAATTATTCACACTTCACCATCTAACCACTTCACCATCTAACCACTTCGCCACCTCACCAGTCCATCATCTCACCCCTCCACTTACTCAAACTTCACCATCTCGCGATCTTACCATTTTACCATCTCACCACTCCATCATCTCACCAGTTTACCATCTCATCACTATAATTGTTGCCATTTGTTTTAGATGTTACTATATACATGCAATAGTTTTCATTTGCTGTAGATGTTTACTGTACATATTTGCAACTAGAAAGAAGAAAAAAAAGTTCACCTGTTTCTTTGTCCTGGGCATATAAAGAGAAAGTATGGTCAGCCTTTGCTTTTCCTTACTATAGTTTGGTGTCCATCACAGCTGGGTGGACTCAAGAGTCATATTGTGTATTTATTTTCTAATAAACAGATCCTTTTATTTATCTACAGTTCGTTAAGATGGCGACTTCGTCTGATAGGTCCATCGATATTTTAATCGTTGGAAAAACGGGCCACGGGAAAAGCGCCACAGGAAACACAATCCTAAGAAAAGAAGCTTTCAAGAGCGACCCAACCTCTACTTCTGTCACATCCGGGGCAGCGTTTGACGTATCCATTTTCACAGATCGGAAAATTGTCGTGGTGGACAGCCCAGGAATCGGCGACACAAGAAGAAGCCAGAAGGGTGACGTTCTCAAGTTTATTGACTCCGTGGCTCATGCATTAACTTGTAACCCAAAAGGATTTCACGCCATAATCTTTGTTATGAAGTTTGGTTCACGTTTTACTAAAGAAGAAGTCTACGCCGTGGAACTTTTTAAAAACATATTTGGAGCTGAGTTCATTACAAAACATTGTATCCTGCTATACACATACGGCGATTGTTTTGATACAGATCCGTCCATTCAAGGGAGGAAAATATCATTTGATCAGTGGCTGAAAGAACAAAATGATATCAATCTAGTTCCGTTTCTCAACGAAATCAACTATCGAGCTATTCTTTTCAACAACAGATCAAAGGACGACAGCCAGGTAACAAAATTGATCAAGATGATTGATCGATTGAACACAGGACGAGAGAGATACTCTCACGAGATGTTTCAACAAACGCAAGAGTTTAGAGAGAGTTTGGTACGAGAGTTAGAGCGACCGTTTATCGATGACGAACTAATGCAAGAAATCTTCGAAGTCAAAGCACATTATGATAGCTTTGAGATCGATGAAGAAAATATTGGATGTTCTTTAACAAAACTCACTTTCATCAGAGAGAGGACAAAACAACTGCTTGAAAAACTGCACGACGCAGACAGGAAAACCGGCGCTTTATCTAACGTCATCAGCCTTATCAACCATGTGACGGTAGATTTAGAGAACCAAGTACATGAACTGGAGACAGTATGCAAAGAATCAGGAGCAGAATTGGGTATAGGACCTGTCGATACATATCCAGCAGTAACTCCAGAACCATCTAGCAATTTTGTGGCCGCCAGAAAGATAGTCCAGGAAACCTTAACTCACGTACAGCGGGAGAAGATCAGAGTTATCCGACACAGCAGTTTGCTGAGAAAAGAAGAAACACACAGACAATTTCTCATAGTCCAAGAGCAGCTAAAATCTGCTGGCTTCCTTAGCTCTCTCTTCGAATTTTTTAAAAGAATTATCAGAAAAATTCTTAATACCTTTTGAAATGTACTTTAAGTAAGGAAATTCTAAAATTAAGCTTAATATTCACGATCTTATAGCTTGCTTCATTTGCGATTTCAAATATAGATTCCCGTAATAAAAATATATCATTATATATATTATATATATTAAGCTTAGCTTATTACATCTTGAGCCTATTAAATATTTAACAATTATATAATTGTAATAAAAAATACTTATTTGCAAAATCGCTTTCAATGCAATTTTACATTGATCTTTGAATTAAAATTTATTTTGGTATAACGTTATGCTTTGTCTCTCATTACAGCGTTAAACGAATTTATGGGGTTTTTTTTTAATGTTCAGTACCATTTCCGTAAGGTGGGAAAATTCAACAAATAAGTATTATATTAGAAATTCGTGATTTTGACAAATTTTCATCGATAACGGAAATAGTCCTTTAACTCCGTGAGAACACGATAAATTAAGCACTATATCATTTCGGTAGATTCAACTTCATCTACAAGATTTTATACTGAGCTTACTTTTACATCCATTATTCAGAAGTGGACATTGTTTATTTCATGGTGATGTGGGGAGAAGGGAGATTGTAATGGGGTTTACGTCAAGGAGTTCATGACTTATTTTTCTAAATGCATTTACCCATAATTGGAATACCGTTTCAGCTTAACAAACGAAATTTTACGTTAAGAAATGTATTTCCTGTACGTAGATCATTTTTAACTTCTGTCCATTTCCCTTCAACGCAGGGGTATTTTAATTTTTGATTTTTCAGATTTTTTATTCGTTCTAAATTTATTAAGCATCATGTAGGTAATGGACATCGATTTCAGCCTACTATTCTCTCTAGATTTACTTCCACAGCCTTTGTCCAACCAACAAAAAACCTCAAGGCAGAAGTTTCTGATGTTAGTGTTTTCTCTTTCCTAGGTTGCTGCCCCTTAGCTATCGAGGGGGGGGATTGAGCTTGACATTTTAGTTTAGCAGCATTGAGCTTTACCAACCCCCAATAAACCTTCAGTATTTAATATTTTTATATCATACTCTTACTAAGCTTATTCTAACAAGAAATGTCGAGTCTGTGACAAACATGGACATTTCTAAAGCCTGATAGCACTGGAAGTGGCATCCCAACACTGAGTGCTATATAAAAATATACAAAACGAGAAAAATGGCCCGTTGAGGAAGGATACACCGGGCGCTAGGTTGATAGTGCTGTCTCTTTTCTCTAAACTAAAACCAACCCACCCCCCCCCCCCCACACACACCACCCCCCCACCCCCCACCCCACACCCACCCCACACACCAGCCCCCCCCCACCCCACCCACCCCCACCCCACCCCCACCCCCCAAAAAACATGTCTACCGTCCCATTCAACGAAATATAATTATATACTTTTTCCAGTGTCCGCCCCCTCCCCGAAAATTCTACCCCCGCCCCCGAAAATTTCAAGTACCCCCACCCCTCTCCGGGGAGGAAAAAGTCTAAATTAAAACCACCCCCCCACTCACCCCCCATCCCCCCCCACACACCCCCCCCCCCTCCCCCCACCCCCACCCACAACCCCCCCCCCTAAAAAAACATGTCTACCGTCCCATTCAACGAAATATAATTATATACTTTTTCCAGTGTCCGCCCCTCCCCGAAAATTCTACCCCCGCCCCCGAAAATTTCAAGTACCCCCACCCCTCTCCGGTGAGGAAAAAGTCTAAATTAAAACCACCCCCCCACTCAACCCCCCCCCCCACCCCCACCCCCCTCAGACGTTCTTACGCGGGGGTGGGGCTTCGCCCCTACCCGAAGAATTGTATGCAAGAAACTCTTCACGCAAACCATTTAGATTAGACAACATTTCCTTTTTTTCAATGTTTCAATGACGTCATTACATTACTGTGTGCACTCTCTGGTTTGAGATTATGTTCTACTCTACGCTAAATGTGTCGACGTCATATTTCGTTTTTCGAATTACTGTGCAGGTTTTTAAATTCCTTGTGTTTTCTCTAGAGCGTTCTTGTCAGACAGATAGATAGATAGATAGATAGATAGATAGATAGACAGACAGCGAAACTATTATTATAGATGTTTAGGGGAGTTCATCCCTCTTATGCTTATAAATTAGATAAGTTCTGTTTGCTTTTAGATTTGTTTACATAGGGTTTCAGTGAATGTTACGCCTATTTTGATTTCAACTACATATTTAAACATTAACAGTAATAATTATTTTTAAGAATGTGTAGGTAACTAAATTGCTATTGTTTTTTGTATTGCCTTTTATTTAGCAGTCAGATACTTGAGTATAGATTTTAATATATTGTCTCATATGTCAGCTAATGTGTAACTTACACATTGTAATTGTTTTTCTACATAGTAACATAATTTTTTTACACTGAAAAGTAAAGTGTAGATAACATATTATCGTATTTTGTAACGCGTTGTATATTATATTTAACTTTCAGTTACTTTACTATACGTTTTGACATTTTATTTCATATATTATATGTTGCGAAACTTGCAAATAAAACAAAGTACTTACGTTTAAAAAAAATTAATAATGCATTTAATTGTGTTTGATTTTGTTTATTCTGTAATGGCTCAAGCAATTGAAAGCAGTTCACAACACTACGCATGCACCTATAAAAACAAAGTAAAGTAAAATTCACTTTTAAACCTTACTGTCTATGGTACTGATGAATTAGAGTATGTGTTTCATTGTTTAACAGTGTGCCCAGTGCCTTTACTGTATCTGAAGGTGAATTGTGTCGTCCAGGAGACTAGAGACTTTCGGTTAGCATTTGAACGCTCTTACATACAACCATGCCGTCCCACAAAGTGGGATACACGAGGTTTATAATTAACATGAAACACTTTTATTACAAATCATGTTAACTTACACACACCCAATATGTGGATTTTTTGTGTGTTATTTTAACATGAAATTGAAAAACAACATTTTACTTTTAACTTCAAATGTAAATATAATTCTTCTATACACATTTGAAACAAGCAATACCAACTTTTTGCTGCACTAGTTTTTTTTGCCGTTTACCTGGATAAGGAACCGGACAATAAACTTTACAGACGTTTGTAGATTAAAGTATGTACTTTTTTATGCAGCTTACATACAAAATAATAATAGATATAAAATACAATCAAAACTTGTTGATACTCATAAAAAAGAATCAAAGCCTATATAAGAAAATAATATATGCTAATTTTGATAAAACTGAACTATTTCATCAAATGTTGTAAATACAACATCATCAGGGGAGCCAATGCTAGAAACCTTAGTTAATACTGATACTTTATATAAAATATATTAAACTTAAAGATAAACTATTACAAAACATTGATATCGCCTTCAATAATAAAAACAAAACATGGCGTTAGGGTACACGACTAAAGTTTAAATATATCCGCCCACTATAAAATATGACACAACAAACCACCTCCGGAACAGTTAGGTGCTAGTGGCAGAGGCGTAGAGAGGGGGGCGGGGCGGGGGGGGGGTGAAATGTGTCCGCGGGCGCCGACCTTAGGGGGGGGGGGCGCCAATATGGGTTGGAAAAACAAATTTAAAGTTTGAAGGAAGGGGTGCAAATCAAAAGTTCGAGGAGGGTGCAAATCGAAAGTTTGTCCCCGCGCGCCGGGAAGGGTCGCTACGCCTCTGGCTGCTGGTGTTGGCTTGTCACGTTCGGCGCGAAGTTGTGAGATCTGTTGCTCAGGTTCGAGTATGCTGATTTCCTGCAGTCTCTGAATTAGTATTCTTGTGTCTCTCATTGTAGCTTCTTGCAACACCGGAAGTTTCGACTCTATTAAGAAAAGTTCACGAGACTGTTTAGCCCTCTCAAAATATTCAGTTGTGTAGAGACGTCCTTTGGTGTGTAAGTGATCCACAAGTGACAGAACCGCATTCAGCTGCTCTTCTTTCTTAGACGCGTCTCTGATTTAGTTATAAAATAAGAGGACACGCCCATCGCACTCTTTCATGAGCTGCGGAAAAACACCCTTTTGTTGTCTATCGGCGCGGTAACCTAGGGTTTTTAGTACTTTTAGCCTCTCCTTTTCTAATGTCAGATCATGCTTTGTGTTGTATTTATAAGTATTTTTTTTATGAAACATTTTTTATTGTAGTCACTCCATGTGCTCGATGATGTCAATATGTGCTTAAGTGTTTATTTAATTTATATCAGGTTTTAACATGACAATTGATTGTGTTCTCATTAAATTGTATCGTTCTCGTGTAGGTGTAGCCTACTAATTGGCTCCACCCCTTGCAGTCCACACTTCGCCCCGTCTTGCGATGGTTAAGTGACGACACTTATCCAGAGATTGTTTTTATTTTACTTGCAATTATACTATGTTTTTTTGTGAATACACACTTTAATATCGTAGATTTTAAAAACATTAACCACTTTAAAAACTTTTCAATATATTTTATACCTTTCTTTTACTGGGAGGCGGCAAGTAAAATAAAATGTCTTTGTCTTCTTACTTTTGGGTTATATACCACTTGGGGACGTCTATAAATGACATCGCACTTATAATGAGGGTTGGGGGGGGGGGGAGGTCCATAATTTTGTGACGATGTGTGAGGAGGAGAAGATTAAGGTGGGGAGGTAAAAATCGTCAAAAAAGCGTGACGTCATTTATGGATGACCCCCATGATATTTAGAACAGGCTTTTACATGTTTAATAATTTATAATTTCGTCAGTTTTAAGCCCGTAATTACTCTCTATAAAAGTGTTTTCAAAAGTTTTTAAGGCAGACTTATTTCAGTCTGGCACAGTGGTCACTTGGTGCACCTGTCTCACCTGACTGTTGGTACCAGCTTTAGCTATAAGTTTAACTAAGCAGCTTAATAGCACTGACCAATTATAAGGACAGTTGAAGAATAGGCTGATTTTAAAGTGGTTAAATGCATTAAATATAGAGGGATCCATCATATAGCCTATATATGCAGCTAGTTTGTATAGGCAGCCACCACGGATTTCCGCATTTACTACAGATAGGAGAAAGTGT